ACGTGAGGATTTGCTGCGGACAGGAAAACGCCACGCCAAGGAAGTGCTGATAGTGGAATGCGACGTTATTTCCTCCGCCCTCCTCTTCCACTTCCACGTCCTTGTCCTCGCCCTCATCCTTCATCCTTCTCCCGTCGTGCGGATCGGCGCTGCAGCGGCGCGCGCATCTCAGCGCGCACCGCAGCATAGTTCCTTGAATCAATCTGTCTGGTTCTCGGACGGCCAATTTAGCCGGAGCTTTTTGGGCGAAAAATGGAGGAGTTAGGATGATGCGGGCGGGCTCGGGAAGACCCGTACATTCCAGCGACGCCCCTTTTTTCCAGAAGGATTCCTTTCCAAATCTTATATCGAAGAATTGTTTTCTGCGGCGTCTAAAGGCGCTCCATTTTGCCATGAATATTCTCTCACACGTTATACATAGAACAGAGGCGCTCTGCTTTACGCAGTTGCTCCGGCGCACGCGTTCGCCGCGGTGCACACGTGCGCCGTAGTGCACGCGAGCGTTGCGGCGTACACTGGCGCAGCGCCGCCCACGGTCGACGCAGTGCACGCAGGCGCCGCGGTGTACACGAGCGCCGCGGCGCCGGCAGGCGCGGGCACGCGCTGGCGCTGCGTTGCGCGGAGCGCGCAGGCTCTCTATACACGGGGGTTTTGGTGCAGATCGCCACCTACACGCTGCCGCAGCACGTCCTCGGTCATTCTTAGGCTCGAGTGTCTGTTGGGGGTAAACTCTGTTTCTCTCGTCAGGCCCAAAGCTCTGGTGAAGATATGATTCACGTCTGCGCTGGAACGCTGATTCAAATCTGGCCCTCAGCACCAACTCCGATTTAGGTATGACTGGAACTCTGATTTAACTCTGATTGAAGTATGACTAACAACCCTGGAATACATATGATTCTGGATTGGTTTGGGCACGCCGAAACCAATTTCGCGTCGTCGGCTCAGAACGCTGCCGCGTCGGCCCCGTGCGCATGCGCCTTCAAGAATAACAAAAGGACTGCGCAAGCCAAGCGGCAGATGACGGCCGGGGGCCCAGCCGCCAGCTGCCAAATCCTGCGAACTGGGGCGGGGCAGCGCCCCCCGCCTGCGCGGCCCTACCCAAAACTGCTCACAAGCAGCTGGTGCGAAAAAAACTCACCCGAGGCTCGCTCCCCAGGGCTACCGGCTGCCGCTCCGCGACTGGATGCGCATCGCAGCGACCGCAATTCCCGCCGCCCGCCCGGGAGAAACGCTGCACTTTTCGCAAGGCTCGGGGGCGCGGGAAGCGCCCTGGGAGGTGCCCGAATAAAAGGCGGACGCAACGGGGAAAGGGTAGGAACAATCGCGAAAACGAAGGCTGAGGCGAAGGCAGGAACTGGGGTGGGAATGGGGGCGGGGGCGATGGGCGACAGCGAGGGCGAGAACGAAGGCGAGAATGAGGGCGGGAACAACGGCGGGAATGGGGGCGAGAACAAGGGCGGGAACGAAGGCGGGGACGACGGCGGGAACGAGGGCGAGAACGAGGGAGATAAAAAGGGCGGGAACGAGGGCGGGAGCGAGGGCGAGAACGAGGGCAAAAACGAGAGCGGGGACGAGGGCGGGAGCGAAGGCGGGAGCGAGGGCGAAAACAAGGGCGGGGTCGACGGCGGGAGCGACGGTGGGAGCGAAGGCGAAAACGAGGGAGAGAACGAGAACGAGGGCGGGAACGAGGGCGGGAACGAGGACGAGAACGAGGGCGAGAATGATGCGGGAACGAAGGCGGGAACGAGGGCGAGAACGAGGGCGAAAACGGGGGAGAAAACGAAGGCGAAAACGAGGGCGGGAGCGACGGCGGGAACGAGGGGGGGAGCGAAGGCGGGAACGAGGGCGAAGGGCCGCGTCTGGGCGCCTCCGTTATTCCACCGGGCGCCTCGGGAATCCCTCGGGCGCCTCTGTTTGAGGTTTGTTTTAGGTCTGTTCTGGGCCAAACTCTGAGTAAGGTCTGTTCGACGTATGTTTGAGGTTTGTTTGAAGTCTGTTTAAAAAGGTCTGGCCAGAACTCTGTCTCAAGTTGCAAGTCTGATTTCCCTGGGCGGCCCTTGGGCTCCCCAGGCGGCCTCTGGGCGGCCCCGCAATGAGGGCGAAAGCGAAGGCGAAAATGACGGCGGGAACGAGGGCGGGAACGACGGCGACAACGAGGGCGGGAGCGAAGGCGAGAACGAAGGCGGGAACGAGGGCGAGAGCGCCGGCGAGAACGAGGGCGAGAACGAAGGCGGGAACGAGGGCGACAGCGACGGCGATAACAAAGGCCAGAAGGAGGGCGGGAACGAAGGCGGGAACGAGGGCGAGAACGAGGGCGGGAGCGACGGCGGGAACGAGGGCGGGAGCGAAAATTTGAACGAGGGCGGGAACGAGGGCGAAAACGACGGTGAGAGCAAGGACGGGATCGAAGGCGAAGGCGAGAAAGAGGGCTGAATTGAAAATGGCCTCGGGCGGGGGCGAGGGCGGGCGCGGGGGCGGGGGCGGAAACGCGGCCGGGCGCAGGGTTTGGGGCGAGGGGGGGAGCGAGGGCGAGAACGAGGGCGGGACGCTGAGGCCGAGGAGCGAAGACTGACGCTCGATACGGAGGAGGGGGAGGGGGAGGATGAGGAGGACGAAACGGAGGGACGAAAGAACGAAGGGAGTAATGGGGGCCGAGGGCAGGGGAGGGACAGCACGTGGAGGGCGGCGGCGACCGAAGGAGGAAACGGGGAGGCCAAGGGGGGGAAGCGGAAGAGGCGGGAAGGTGGAGGATAAGGGCGGGGATACGGGGAGGAGGGAGGAGACAAACTGAGGAGGAGGGGAAGGGGGAGGGGGGAAGATGGACGTTTTTTGTTGTTGTTGTTTTTTTTTCGTCTCAACCCCAAAGTGTTTTCCTGCAGGGACTGGGGCGGCGACGGCCTGCAGAAAGACTCCCTGCCAGAGGGCAGGGATGCAAGGCCAACTGCAGGGATCCTGCAGCTGGAAAAGCAGCATAATATCCACAAGCTCACAACTCTGGAGAAAAGGCGGCCCTCTCCAGGGTCGGGCGGCAGGTCTCGCGGAACCCACAGCCCAGGAACGGGGCCTCCGACGATGACCTCTTCACCTCAATAGTCGTACCCTCCCCTGGCGGTGTTGGGAGATTCCCAGATCGGAGCTGATGTCGACCGCATGCCGCCGTCAAGGCGCCGCCGCCTGCGTACAAAGGAGCGGGACGCGGCACCCAAAGCTTCCCAAGAGCGCAGCTGCTCCTCGACCGCGGAAATGTGCTCAACATCCATGTCCTTTGAGACCTCCACCACGGTGGCATTGTCACCAAGGCCATCTTTACCACAAGGGATAGGAACGACTACATATTTAGAATCACCACAACAAAAACTGACTCCATCAATAACCCATGATGAGCGGCAGCTCCAGGCACAAAGGGCGCCGCGCAAGCCCGAAGTGCTGAAAAGGAAGCCGCCACAACACATGGGGGCTTGGCTCCCAAGCGAGGCCCACGTTGCGCAGAGTTGAGCTCGGCAGGCGAGGCGGTGACGATGTCGATCCCCTCGGCAACCGAATGCGGGGCAACGTTCCGACTAAGGACATCAGTGTGCTCCACGGGCTCGTCCCAGAGCAGTGCCTCCAGCGCAGGCGCCGCGGCCGCCAGCCGAGGACCCAGCTGAGGGCACCTGTCCGAACCCAGGGAGTAGGCCAGGTCGTAGTACTTCTTTTTCCATCCCTCAGCTTCAGCACGGAAGTGATGGACCGCACGCTCAGCAGAAGCAGCGGCGGCCTTCCGGGCAGACCGGCGAGCAGCTGAGGAGGAAGCCTTGCCGCCATCGAGGGCAGCATCCCGCGCCATCCTCCGCGCGCTGGAGCGAAGGGCCGCCGATAGGCTTTCGCCAGAAGCGGGCCCTTGAAACAAAGCGCGGGAGCTTGAGCCAAAATGGCTTGAGCCAAAATGGCTTGAGCCAAAATGGCTACGGACTGGGGAAAGAGGGACGCGAACGGGGGAGGAGGGAAAGGGAGGGAGGGAATCGGAAGAAGGAGGGAGGGGATGGACGAGGTAGGAACGGGAGCGAGGGAGGAGGGAGGATGGGCAAGGAGAGAGGACAAACGCACTTGCGCAACGCGCTTCGCGCCCTCCGCCCGGGATTTGCTAAAACTCCGATGGTATTATGGTTCAGTTCTGTTCTGGCTCTGGCCTGAAACTCTTCTCTGGTTTGGCTGAAATTCTGATTTGGCTCTGGCCTGAAACTCTGACTTATCTCTCTGGTCTAGCTGAAACTCTGATTTAGCTCTGGTGTAGAACTCTAATTTCACTATGGTTTAGCTCTGGCTGGGGACAGAGCCGAATCAGAGTTCAATCAGAGTTCGGACCAGAATAAAATCATAACTTCAAGAAAAAACTGAGATGAAACAAAGTTCCGGGCCAGAGTTGAATCCGAGTATTATTAAACAAGTTTTGGAATTTAGCTTTTGAAGCTTGTTTGCCTCCACAACACACTTTCAATCTGAGGCGCTCCCAGTCGACGCCGGCGCGAAACGTGACGTCATCGGCCCCCTTCCACCCCCTCCCAGATGATTGCCGTCATCAGCCCCGAATTTTTTATAAAACAAAAGAAAAAAAAGGCTCCAGCCGCGTCCGCGCGCACGACGACGATGAGCAACGAGCGACGAGCGACGACTGACAACGACGACGACGAAGACGACGACGACGACGAGGACGACGAGGACGACGAGGACAACGACGACGAAGACGACGACGATGATGACGATTGCGGACCAGACTCCTACGCGGATTCCGATGCGGACACCAATTCGGATCCCGATGCGCACGGCGGCAAAGCTCGGAGTGCACTGGGGGGGGGAGCGTTACGTCAAAGAGGGGTGGGGGGGGGGCGGCGGGGGCCATGACGCCCGTCATGCCCCAAGCAAAAAGAAACATGCTCCTTCAATCTGAACCAGGTCGCTGAACATCGGCAGCGGCGGACGGCGGCGGCGGCGCCGGCCAGCGCCCACCGCGCAGGCGTGGCCTCTCGATGGCGGCAGCAAGGCCTGCCCCGGGGCCCCCCGCGCTGAGCGCCGGCAGCCCGTCGACCAGCAGCTGGAGCAGCCTGTGGAAAGGGCTCCTCCAAATCTTGTGATGACAAGCCGTGTGCCATTGTCGGACGGATGGTCGCGACAGAGGGTTTTTCGCTCATTCTCGTCCTCTGGGGGCCCAAACTGGGCCTCGGGACCGAAGGGACGACTCAGGATGAAAAGCTTGCCCCAGGGATAAAGTCCAGACCTCTGGAAGTCCACACCGTGAACAATCACCACGTAATCGTGAGGGGGCCGGGACTTCTGGGGCTGCGGATTGAAGACGTCTCACCAGCGGATGGCAAAAGGCGGTGCGGTGACAGACCGTGCGCTGACCTCAGAATTCCTAGCACGAGTTGGGGACCCTGGAGGCCCCGGCAGCCCGAGGCAGCCTCGGAGAAGGGCCCGAGTCCCGAAGCTGCGCGGTCATCTCCGAATCCCAACGGACTCACCAGACGGTTTGGCCACCAAACTGCTTGGGCCCCTGGAGCCATGGGCATTCCATGAATTTCCAAACACATGTGCATTGCCCTCGACTTCAACAAACATGTAGAAAAAATGGATTCACAGAAACTGATGGGACTCTCCGCAGATCTCTTGGATCGGCGCTGGGGCCCTCCTGGCGGCGCCTCCGGGTCCGCCCAATTTCCGTCCTCGAACTTCGGGACATCTTAGACACTCTTCGGGGAATCTCTCAAACTTTGACAGATGTCTCGAACGAAACAACAACGGTTTAACAACGACGTGCAATCAGAACATCTTGAACACCATCCCTAAAAGAAACCCGCCAACCTTCCAATAGTATGCAATCGGGGCCCAGGGGTCTCTCGCGGATTAGGTATGCTGATATTCCTTACTGAACTCCCGCACAAAACTCCCTTCGTTTTCTCGCTCCGAGCAAGCGTTTGCCGCCATAGAAAATTGAACTACACATTCAGACAAAAAACTTCAACTACCACAATTATCGCGCCTCGAAGACACTTCCCGTCATGCGCCATCCTTCAGCCAGATGCGACTCCGCACCCGTGCTCTCGCGGCACGCGCGCGCCAACATTGCAAATAGGTGATCGAATCTGACGGCTTCCCCGTACAGCCCGCCAGCCTTGCTATCGCGACGCGGACACGGATCGCTGATACACCGGAACGGCCTTCAAATTTTGGCTACACTGGTCGGTGCACGCTTCGGGTTCCTCGATCACGCTTCACGCAATCCGCCAAGCGACACACTTTTACACCCCGGAACTGGGGTCTCTGGCGTCTGCATTCTTCATCTGATCATGAGCATCGTTTAACCCATCCCTATATGTATATATATATATATAGAGAGAGAGAGAGAGAGAGAGAGAGATGCTGTTCCCTTCGGGTTTCGCAGGTCCTATCCCGAGCCCACCCGAGCCCGAGAGGGTAGCCCCCACCCTCCTGAGGCATTGCAGTGAGCCTATGGCTCTGTCGCGTTGCGCATGTTCCATGCAGAACAGGCCTCGGAAGAAATTAGCGAACACCCATGCCGCATTCATTTGTCAATATCCCCCCCAAATGATCGATGTTGGCGGTGGGTTGAATGACTGCACTTCGACCGCAGTCGTCCCCGCGCGTCCAACTTTCAGTTCTGTGGAGCGGGGGGGAGTCCACGAATTGTACCGAATCAGACCGTTTCAGCCAGGCCTGTATCGCCTCGCCTCCCCAACCATCCCCCACAACAGAAACCATAGCGGGTACACACGCGTTCAGTGTGAGAAATGCGTCTGCTGCGAACCGCTTGCAAAAAACACACATCACGGGCACATGCGCGCGCAGCAGCGCGCGCACGTGAAACATCTATCAAGCATCGTACGCGGATCCATCGACATCCTTCGAAAAACCCATGTGGCGCCACACAACTGCCAGAACTCTACGCGCGCGCCTCGCTGAAGCCTGAACAACACCATAGGTGTTTAGCCATAGCGGGGAAACCAAAAGGTACCGATACCGCTACTCCCCAGACCTCGCCCAGGGTGCGTTCTGACCAGGATTTCGAAGCGAATCCAGCGGTGGCGACGACGGAGTCCCAGGAGGCATCAAAACGGGAAAACGAGGGGAGGGGTAGAGGTATGGGTACCTTTTCCTCCTCCGACAGACTGTCAAGTCAGACCACGCGGGCCAGTCGCGCGCAAATGTCGAAGACATGCCAACCGTCATCGAAAACAAAAACCCGCTTTGTAAAATGATAGCACGCGGACCGCGCGCGCCTCTCTCCGCGGGCGCGCACGCGTCGAGACCCTTCCAAGAACCATAGCTTCAGACCAGTGCAGCAGAGAAATGCTCAACACCACGAGGACCATGCATGGCTTCAACACAGAACACGCGAGGGTGTCTGAACTGCTGTGGGCGGGCATTGTCCCACCACCTCCATCAACACAATCGTCATCACCATCGTGCCAATGATACATTGCCGTCGTCATCATTAGAACCATCGTCGGGATCATCGTCGCCGCAAATAGCTTCATCGTCGATGCATGTCGTCACCCACGTGGATATCTGCGCGAAAGCACTGCCTTATCATCGTGATCACAATTACCGTTGCTACCGTTATTATCATCGCCATCAGAGTCGTCGCCATCACCATTGTCGTTGAAGATATCGCATAGTATCATATGCACTGTCATCGCCATCGACATCAGCGTCCTCACCATTGTCAAACGCCATCATCGATGGCGTCGCGGTCGTCACCGTCAGGCGCGAGCGCGATTCTTGGACACAATGCATGGAAGTCTCGAGCGAACGCCCGATGTCTCAATAAGTTAGAGTAAACTCCGCAGGAAGCCGCTGTTGTAGTAAACCGGGGGCAAGGGGCAAAGTTTGGAGACCCAAGAGGTTCCCTCGTAAATACCAGGGTGCGGGCTCCGGGAAGGGCACTTCAACTGGCAAAAACACCAGGTTCCATGGAGGGGGGGATCAACCAGAATTGTTCTTCAGAAGTGCGAATTAAAGCTGTAACCTTCGACCACTCGTATTCTTCGAGCTGTCTGCTCATGAACACATCTACTCCTTCCCTGGGGCAGGCTATCCGTTCTAGCTGGTCTCTGACTGCTCCAGGTCGTGGAAGCACACTACAGACCCAGATGTTTGTTCTGAGTCGCCAGACTCATCTCTAGAAGTCTCTGACGGCCAGAAGCATCTGGCCGTCTCGAACATCCTCTTCCTGAGTGTGCGGGGGTGGGCAACAACAAGCACTGGCACTGGGCGACGTTCGCAACGAGGCCTGTCCCAGCGTGAGACAGCGTGCTGCTGCAGCTCCTCTGAATTGCGGGGCGGGGGCGGGGGGAGAAGGCAGGTCAGGACTCAAGGACGGAACGGCGATGACCAGAAATCATGGGATGAGTGGTCGGAGCATGAGCTCTCATAGAAAGGAATGACGAAGGTGGGGGGCTAAAGGGGGGAAGGGGGCGACGGATGGAGGTGGAGGAAGGGAGATGACGGGGGGAGGAGGATAGATGGAGAATCTGGAACAATTTCGAAAGCGCTGAGAACGCAGTAGGCTATCTCAGGCGGACTTCGAGAGAAACACCTTAGCGCGCGGGCCAAAGAACCACAACACGCAGCCCAGGAGCACGGTGCCGCCGCACCCCACTAGCCAAGCTCGCTGGCCTGATCCGGCGGAGCGGCAGGAAACAAACATCGGGCTGGGGTAAGCCATCGAGAAAATCGGCGGAGGAAGGAGCTCCCGTGTCGCTTGGATGGCAGCCCCGCTTGGCATGATCGAGGTGTGCAAACATAGCCGCCCTCCTCGCAAACGCAGAGGCCTTGTGATGATTCACCAACCTTGCAGCTCACACGCAGGACATCCCGCACCAGCTGCATCTATATAATCTGAAGAACTGCATAAACATAAACGTTCCGGGCTCAACGCGAATCTCTTGGATCGTTGCTGGACCCCCGTCCGGGCCGCTGGGAACGCGAGAGGGCGGCGCCGGTGGCACCGCCAAGGGGGCCCAGCGCAGATCGAAAAAACTCGCACGGAGCTCTGAACATGTATACTTATGAACATGTATGCTTTAGTCCTTCGCGTATCTACACACGGTCAGCCAGCCCCCTCCACTTGCCGGTCCGCCGCTGAGGTGCTGCGCGAGGCTCCGCTTAGCCGCTTTAGGTGAGGCTGCGCCCCGTTGCTTTAGGTGAATTTGTCCTTGCGCGCCCCGCTTTGACTGGACTCGCCGCTGGCGCGCTCGCCTGCGGCCGCTGACGAAACAAGCATCTACACACGGCCACAGTTCAGCCACAATTCGCCTGCACCCGCGCCTGCTGGATCACAGGCTCGCCCGAATGGCGCCTGCTGGAGCACAGGGCCCAAAGGGGACGCCGTGCTCGTTGGCCCCCCTCTGCCTCGGGCGAGCGTGCCAGACTGGACCGTGCCAAATGCGTGCTCGGTCTCTCGGGTATCCCCCAGCGCCGGGGCAGATCGCGGCGCTCGGGGGACTGCGCGGTCCCTGGCCAGCATCGCAATCCTGCCAACCGCAGAGGCGGCAATTGTATCGAAAGCGAACATCATCTGGGGCGCATCTCCGATGCCTTGACAAACGCACGGGCGGGAACTCAGCCCGACGGCCACTGGTTCAGCGAAGAACTCAGCCCGCGCAGTCTCCAAGAAGCGTTCCAGAGGCTGGACGCTCGCCGCTCGCCTTGGCGGCCTGGCGCGCTCCGCGCGCCAGGGAGGGGGTTCCTTACCAGTTTGAAGCATATCCCTATGCCTATGTTTGACATCACCTCACCTCGATGCCGATCTTCAGGATTCCCTCAGCTTCTGAGGGCCCATCCCTAAGATTATCCTCGCTTTTTGCTCGCCCATCTTATGGGATAGGGATAAATTCGAGGCTGGTCAGTTCCAGCGCCGATGCGAAGAATCCGCGCGGAGATCCGAGTTGTCGTGCTTATGGCATGCGCGAGCGGCCCCAGCTCGATGGAGCCTCGTCCCCCGACGTCACGCGCATCGCAGCACAGTCGAGCTGACAAAAAGAAGAGGCTCATCCTCGCTCGGAGGGGGAGGAGGGGGAGGGGGAGGAGGAGGAGGAGGAGGAGGAGGAGGAGGAGGAGGAGGAGGAGGATGGATGGATGGCACAGCTTCAAAGGAAGCCCTCGTCCCCGTCCAGCAGGCTGGACGATGCCGAGGGCCGCCAGAAGTTCGAAATCCCCGCGCGCGGGCCGCTGCCGCGACGGAGTGCGGCCCACGCCCCCGTCCGCAGGGGGACGCGACGGGGGTCCCTGGGCTGCAACTCCAGGATGCGAGGCGGCGGCACTAGAGAGCGCCCGAGAGCGCGCGCCACCGAGCCTCAGCGGCTGCCGAGAGGCCAGTGCCACCGACGACGACGCGGTAGATGCGCACGCCCATCACGCGGAAGCACTGGCGGAAGCGCGTGGAGCTCATGAAGGCGTGCACTCGGTCGATGTCCATGCCGTCGCTATCGATCTGGCGCACCACGTCCTCCATGCTGACGCTCTGCGCACCTCCCTCGGGGCCCGAGGCCGTGAGTATCTTGTCGAGGAAGTCCTCGACATCGACCTCCGACACCGCGCCGAGCTCAGCGAGGGGCTCCTCGCCACTGTCGACGCTCTCAGGCACGTGGGAGCCGTCGCCGTCGATCTCCGCCGCAGGCTGGAACGGCACAACCAGCCTCACGTCGACTACGACGGCCTCCGACTCGCCTGCCACGTCGACGACGGGCTCCACCGAGACGCCGCTCTCGGTCCCGTCACCGTCGCACTGGGACTTGACCATGTCCCCGCCCGCGAGCCGCCAGTCCGCCATCAACCCGAAGCCGAAGGCGGTGGCCTCCGACTGGAAGTCCCGAGGCCGCCAGTCACCAGGCGCATGGTCTCCGTCACCGCCGTCGCCAAAAACAGCATCGCCGTCTCCGCCACGGGCCGGCGACGGCAGGGGGCCACCCTGGCCCGCGAAGGCCGGCAGCCGCGGGCCCGCCGCAGAAGCCTCCAGCTCCTCGTCGGTCGCCCGCGCGAACCCTCGCGGTGGGGGGTCGGCAGCATGCCAAGCCGCATTGCGCCGCCTGCGCGGCCGTCCCGCGACCCGCAGACCCGCCGCAGCACTGCGCAGCGCCGGGCGCGCAGCCTGCTCGCGGTCTTGCCACGACCCAGGTGGCCACGGCCCCGCGCGGCACTCCGCAACCAACGCAGCCATGCGCCTGGCGCGGGCCGCGCGCCGCGCCGCCGTGGGGCCGAGAGCGGCGCTCTCGGCCTCCCTGAGTCCCGTGGGCCGCCATCGCTGAGGTGGCAGCCCTCCGTAGCAAACCTTCGCCGCCAGGCAGTCCCCCTCCATGGCCACAGGACGCGGCGAAGGGGAGAAGGACAGAGCCGCTCTCGAGCGCAGAAGCAGCAGGGAGAGACAAGGCAAGCAGCCCGCCTGGCGCCCAAGGCAGGCTTGAGCCAAAATGGCTACGGAGGAGGAGGAGGAGGAGGAGGAGGGATGAACAACACATCTTTCGCCGCTGGGAGCGCTGCTGTGGCTTGCAAACCTTGCAGCCAAAATGTTAGAGACTAAGAGCTGGACAGCGCTGGGACCGGAGCCGCGCACTGCAAGCCGGGAAACCTCACCGGCTCGCGCCGAGGGGCTGACACAAAATGACGCCTTGCACCACACAGCCCGAATACGACTGTGCCGAACGAACTCAAGCCGTCATAAGTACCCCTTGATAATACGGCTGCCAGTACATGCGCCCTCGGTGACGAGAAGATGGCCACGAGTCCAGCCAGAACGACGAGGATGAGGAGGGGAGAAGGGGGAGGCTAATGGGCAGCAGTGGCAGGAGGGGGCCGGAAGAGGAGCACAATGAGGAGGAGGCGAAGGAGGAGGAGGAGGCAGGAGGAGCGAAGCCTGTTAGATCCTCGAAAACCTCTGAGGCCGCCGGGCAGTTTCCGAAAACTCGAAGACAGCCTCGACGACGACCTCGACGACGCCTCGACGACGATTTACACGATGGCGGATAGTGACAGCGACGAGGGTCCCCCCCGAAGCCCTGCGGCTGCAGGCCACCGCATTGGGATCAGACCAGAAGTGGTCCAAGCATGGCACAGCATCGCCGACGCGTCGGTGATTCCTCACGGCGTCGGGAAGACGCGCATCGGGCTCTGCGTCGGGCACGTAGCCGATGCATCAGCGATGGGCAGCGACCCTCCGAGTCTACTCCAGCCCCCAGACATCCCCGGAGACCGGGGGAGGGGCACGTGGAGGTCCCCGGAAGTCTCTGGCCCTCAGACAGTCAAGCTGACAAAAAGAAGAGGCTCATCCTCGCTCGGAGGAGGAGGAGGAGGAAAAGGAGGAGGAGGGGGAGGCCTGGAGACAAGGAGGCCGAGCCCTGAGAGCCCCCCCACGCTCGCCGCCGCTGCACGCCGACTCCGCTCTCGCCCTCGACGCCGCCGACGGCGGCGGCGCCCACGCCGTCGGCGACGACAACCACGGCGCCGACGGCGACGGCGACGGCGCGCGGCGGAAGACGACGGCGAGCGGCGGGCGGCACCGACGCCCACGGCGACGACGACAACAACGGCGACGGCGACGACGACGGCGGGCGGCGGAAGGCGCCGACGACGGCGGCGGCGACGGCGAGCGGCGGGCGGCGCAAGGCGCCGACGGCGGCGACGGCGGAAAGCGGCGGGCGGCGACGGCGGCGGCGGCGGCAACGACAGGAGGCGGTTCCGACGACGAGCGCCCCGTGGCGCTCCTCGGCCCGCGGGGCGGCGGCCGCCGCGCCGGCGGCGGGCGGCGCCGCCCTCGGCGGGGGGGGGAGGCCGCCGTGGGGCGCGCTGGCGCTGGGCGGGGGGTCGGCTGCCAGGCTCGGGGGCCCGAGCTCGGGGCTCGGGGCCAGGGGCTCGGGGACCTGAGCTCGGGGCTCGAGGGCCTCAGCTCGGGGCTGGGGGGGCTCTCGAGGCTAGGGGCGCGAGGAGCGAGGCTCGAGGCTCGCGGTTCGAACAGCACGCGGGGTCGAGGATCGCTGCCGGAAGATCGGGGATCGAGGTTCGAGACTCGAGGTTCGGGGATCGAGGCTGGGGTCGAGGATCGAGGATCGAGGCTCGAGGCTCGGGGTTCGGGAACGAGGTTCGGGGTTCGAAGTCTGAGGTTGGAGGCGTGAGGTTCCAAAGTCGAGGGTCGTGGTTCGATGAGACGAGTTCTTGAGGCGACTCTGGTTACTTTTCAGGCACCGTGGGTTCCACCGACAATCACGGCAAAATCTGCTTCAAAACAATCAAATCATTGGGCACATCTGAGGGTCGACCGCCGATGTCGTCGTCGTCGTCGTCGCATCCGCTGCCCCAACCGTCATGGTCGTGAGGACCGTGTTCGTCGTCGTCGGAGTAGTCATCGTCGTGGTGGCGACTGTCGGCTTCGGCAGAGGAGAAGGCATGGAACGACGACAGGAGCGGAAAAGGGGAAGGGGGTTGCAACAGTCACCTACGGGGCACGTGTGGTACAGACAGGCTGTTGTCGGCACCGTAATCCGATGAGATAAGGCAAGACATGACGGAACACGACATGCTGTCCAGACAGCCGCATCTACCGACATCTACTCAGGCACGGTGACATCAGTGCTAATGCAACTGCTCCTGTCAAATCTGCCATGACGCCACCTGTGGTACTGACGAGCTGTCCGCATGCTCAGACTCATCGAACGCGTATAACGATAATGAACAAACCATGTGTGGTCCAGCTTTCCCTCCGACTTCCATGCTCTGTTCGCACGGAGAACAGCCGCCGCCGCCGCCGCCGCCGACGACGACGACGACGACGACGACGACGGTGGTGACACTGACGACAGCTGTGAGGACGAGGACGAATACAAGGATGAATGCAGTGACATCGCCGAGATGAGAAAATCACGGCGTCGCAAAAGACAAGCCAACCAGTATCTCGGTCAAACATGCCTTGTGTGCCACTTCTGGTTGTCAAGCCACTTCGACGAGACACTCTCCCCATTCAGCCCCACAACACACCAACACAACGCCAAGCGCATGTTGCTTGCACGACACCCTCCGTTCCCCCCAAGCCGCTCAATCCGCGGCCAGCAAGTTCCGACAAACGGGGGCGGGGGCGATGGTGAGCAATACCAAAGCAACGACTTCCCGACATCCCCCCCCGAAGGCGCCTGAAGCCTGGAAGCTGGCAGATCCCCAGAGAGCCACAACCATAGACACGCAGAGGTCCGAGCGGACTTCTGGAGTCGGCACCGACTGAAGAACCCGAGCACACATCCGATTCATTACGCGTGGGGTGCTTTTGCTATTCGAACCTTGGGCCCTTTCGTGCTTGCCTGGACCTGGGTTTGTTAGCTGCGCGGAGCCCGAAAGCGGCCAGCGGACGCCGAATCTGGGCCAGGATGAAAACAATCATTTGGAGGTCTGACCGAAGTGGAGTCTGAACGAATGAGGTCGGAGGATCACGCCGCATCGCCGATGCCTCGGCGACGTCGGCAATGCGTCGGCGAAATCGGCGTGGATACAATTGAGGGGCTTGTCTGCTCGAGTCGACCTCTACGTCAGGCGTCTTCTCCAATCGTCCTCTTTTCCTGCGCCCTCCTCCTCGAGCCTGCGAGAGACAAATCTGGCAAGGTCGCAAACGAGTCGGAGAGAAGCCCGTTCCCTTTGGTCCCTCCCTCGTGGGGGGTCACGGGGGGCGGTCCTGGGGGGGGGGGAGTCAGAGACGCATCCTCCCCTGGGGTCCTGGGGCATCAGACAGCACCAGGACAGGCTAAGAATGCACCAAGAGGACACCGAGACGGTCCAAGGCGGCCCCCAATCGCCAAAAGATAAGTCCAACACGCTTTCACGCCCTCCAGACTGTCCAGGAGGCCTCCAAGTCGCCCCAAGAGGCCTGCAAGAGTACTCCAGAGAGGGCCCCAAGACGCAATATTCATGTATTTTCCTTAGGTTGTTGGTTTTCTGCTTCCCGCTGATACAAGACGGCCCAAGAGACCCCCCAAGGTCGCCCCAAGACGGCCCAAGAGGCCGCCAAGAGGGCCCAAAACAGCCCAAGAGGACCCCAAGACACCCCACAACGCCTCCAAGACGGCCCAAGAGGCCCCCAAGACGGCTTCAAGAGCGTGCCCAGACGAGGAGCACGAACTATGTCGAGCCCTCGGCCCCAAGAGGCCCACAGGAGGTCCCCGGGAAGCCCGAAGAGGCCCCCAAGAGGCCCCCAGGAGGCCTCCAAGAGGCTGCCAAGAAGCCCAAACATTCATGCCCAGAGGCCCCCGAGAACATTCCGAAGAGACCCCAAGAAGCATCTCTGAGGACTGTCGCCCACTTCAGCGTCGTCGTCGCCGCCGCCGTTGTCGTCGTCGTCGTCGTCGTCGTCGCAGCCGTCCCCCTTCGGGGATGGCGGCACCGGCCGTATGGCCTTCGCAATCGGGCTCCACATCGATCCACATCGCCGATGCACTGGCGATGCGGCTGGTCCCACCGACCCCATCTGAGTCGACCCCATTTACGATTATTAATAAAAGGACACTTTACGCGTTTGGAGGGGACCTGAGTTCGGCGGGCCAGAAACATAAGGACATGGGGTCTCTTTTTTGCAGATGCATCGGACCAAACCGCTGAGATCCGTCCTCCCTGAACTGCGTGATGCAAGCTCAAATCTCTGTTGCTCTCGATGAATTTACGCCAGGTTCGCGCCGTGTCGACTCCGGCGTTGGTTCCTGACAGCGCGGGGATCGTTCAACATTGAACGACCGGCCGTTTCCGCAACGTCCGATCGTTCAACATCGACCGATTCTGGGCCGCCGCTGGCGTCCAACCTGGAACGCCGGCGGCAGGGTCGCCGCCGGTCGGCACGACGCGACCCTACCGCAGGCAGCCTGGAGCTCCGAGGGCTGACTACCTACCAGACCACCCCAACCCAACCCGAAGGCCAGAATTTCGGGTTGGGGGGGAGGTACGGGTTTCATGTGCGTTCTCTCAGTGTTCCCCGAAGCCCCCCCCACTGGAAATGGAGGGCAAATCGGGGCCTTCGGGGCGGGTTGGGGTGGGTTTGGTGTGCGGTGAAGGGCGGCGGCGAGGGGACGCTCCCGCTGCCGCGCCCCAGCAGCCGCGCCGACAGCGAGGCCTGGAAGCGGGCGTGCAGCGCCAGCAGCGGCGTGGCCTGGGCGCCGCCCGTGCCCGTCACCGCCGCCGCCGCCGCCCGCGAGAGGGGCGGCCCGGCGGCCCCCGACATACTCTCACGGGCGAAGAGCGGTACAGCATCTTCGGACACCCGAAATGGGTACCGAAAGAATGGGTACAATGCCCAAACAACAAATGTTGTCCCAAACCAACAGCGGCCGCTGTTGGGCAGGCGGCCCTCTGTCTCGAATGGACACAGGCCGCGGCGGCGCGGACAGCGAGTCCTGTTCAAAATGAACTGGAACTGCTGTTGGGCATTGTACCCATTCTTTCCGTACCCATTTCGGGCGTTCAGAACATCCACTTCTGCGCTGTCGGGGGGCGCCTGTCCCGGGGCGGCTGGGCCGTTCGTGCTCTCACGGTGGCAACGTCGGGGTATATGGACTTTCCAGCCGCCCAAAGGGCAGGCGGCGTGCCCGACGGCGGAAAAGTCATGTTGCACCGGCATTCGCCCGCTGACAGATTCGCGTCGTGAAAACATCATGGCGTGCTGTAGGAGGTCGACCACGAGAAGCCTTCCACAGGAAATCCAACCCTGAGACCCCAGGACGTGCACTGTTCTTGGTGTGGGGGCGTCACGCCTTCCGTACAGCGGAGGCCAGTCCAAAGAAACCTTCCACAAGGAAAACAATCCTGAGACCCCAGGGCGTCCGTTGACTTTTGGTGTGGGAACGTCACGCCTTCCATCGTAAAACCATCGAGACCCCAGATACCCAGGGCACCCTGGAGGCAAGCAGGGCGTCTCTTGGCATGGGCCTCCGCTGTAGCAGAACCGTCGAAACCCAGGAAACCCAGGGCACCCTGGAGGCAAGCAGGGCGTTTTTTTGACAGGGGCTCCCAGTGCAACCTGTGTCACTGCTCTCCTTGCCCCTGGGGGGCCTCCAGCGCTCAGGATGAAGAACGGGCTCCCGTGAAGGGATCCAGACCTCAGAGGATTATAAAGGGAAATTAGGACACACAAATAAATACACACAAATAAAAATAGTCCCCATATTGTCCCATAGTTTCTTGGTTTTTGTCTTCCCGCCCAATTCCCATATTTTCCCATATTTTCTGGGGAATCGACGATTAATTGTGTCTGTGTGTTTCTTTCCCTCCTAGGATCCACGGTGTGCACAAGTCACGACGTCGGAGGTCGGGCTCCTCGTCGTCGCCTCGCCGAGGTCGCCGGCATCTCCCTCGCTGCCGCCCGGGGAATTATATCCGCCACCATGCCGCGAGACACGAGTTGGAGTGCCCGCAAGTCCCTGGAGTCCTCTGTCCTGTCTGACTACCTACCAGACCACCCCAACCCAACCCGAAGACCCGAATTTGACCCGAATTTCGGGTTGGGGGGGGTACGGGTTCCATGTGTTTTTTCAACGTTCCAGGACCCCCCCCCCACTGGAAATGGAGGGCAAGTTGAGGCCTTCGGGTTGGGTTGGGGTGGTTTGGTAGGTGGTGACTGTCCTGGATGAATGGGTCGGAGGCAGGAAACAATTTACATAGACGCTGACTTTTGGAGGTCCGCGCGTTTGTTTTTGTTGATGTCGGCTAGAACCCCCTCCCTCAAGCGCGGAGCGCGCCAGCGGTGGCGCCAGAGGCGCCGCCAAAGGGGCCCAACGCAGATGCAAGAAATCTGCGCGGAGCGCCAACAATTTGTGTATGGCAATTTTCCTTCTTCGATGAACAAAAACACTGAACGGCCCAAACATCAAATTCCGGGTTTCTACGGAGCGCGTCGCGGCATCCCGTGTGCTACCTGGGGCTGGGCATTCCCGCGCGGCTTTTCTGGCGAAGGCCTGGGGGCTCCAAGACGGAGAGGGCCCCGGGAGGCGCCCAAAATGGTCCGAGAGGCTCCCAAGACTCAAGGCGGCTTACGAAGTGCCCAGAAGCGCCCGAAGAGGCCACGAGGGCGCCGCAAAAGGCCCCAAGAGGCCCCAGACGGCCCCAGGACACCCGCATAAGGCTTCTCACAACCCAAGCCCCCTCCGGAGGCCAGCAAGTCGGCCCAAGAGGCTCCACAGGACGGCACGTGAGGCCCCGCAGAAGGCCCCAGGAGGGCCCCAAGACCCAAAGATCTGCATGATGGCCCGAGAGCACCTCAAGAAGATCCGCTATCTTGGGGCCTCCGACAGCCGAAAGCCTTCAAAACGGCCAAAGGAGAGGCCCCCAAAACGGAACAAGATGCCACCCAGGAGGCCTGAGGAGGGCCCCAACACGGCCCGAGAGACCTCCACTCCATGACGGCCCGAGTCGCCCCAAAAAGACCCCAAGACGGCCCAGAGCGGCTCCCGAAACGGCCTCCGACGGTGTCAGACGGGCCAAGAAGAGACCCCAAGAGGCCTCAACGAGGCCCTTTCCCTCAGACGGCCCTGTAGAAGCGAGGGGACGAAATCGAGTTTAAGACCCATTCGAGTTCAGACTGCGCGCTGAATTGCAATGTGTTTTCCTTCAGCCTCCTCCACGCTGCGCTGCTGCGCTGGCGCAGTAGCGGGGGTTGACCGCAGGCCGCTGGATGTTAAAGCTCTGCACGCCGCCCATTGCAGGTAGGCGCTTACCGACTAGTACAGACACTGGTAACGAACTGATGCTCGTGTTGAACTATGCCCAGAACGTTGACCACTCGCAAACACGAGAATCGAACACAGCGGCATACGCCGTCGCACAAAATCAAGACAGAAACTGATGCAGTAAACGCAAAGCCACTTTAGAAAGCGACGAAACAAACTCATGATACCGTTCGCGACCGTGTTTCTGACAAGGGGAATCCTTGTTCACCACCAAGGCCCACATGCAGCGATGAACCTGTGCGGCGTCATCGATAGTTCCTCAAAAGTGCCGCCAGGTGCAATGAGGGACTTGCAGGAGAAAACAAGAAGAGCCTGAGCGAGCCCACCTCAACTGCGACATCCGCGCAACAAAATTGACTACGCCACAACACCGCCCGAACGACGCATAACAACGGCTCTTGCGCACGATAATATAGCGATCTTACGCGGGATGCACGGCGCAATTTTCCGCACTCCGCGCCCAGATTGCGAATCTGGGTGCGCAGGTAAGTCTCCAGCTCTGCGTCTCGCGCCGAGATCAGGAACCCGAGCTCTGTCATCGCCAACTTGCCACATCGTGCGCGTCGCCCACGGATTGTGGTGTTAGCGACCGCGCTGGCGCAGATCTGCGACCCAGGCGCTCTGCGCGCAAAGCCCGAAGCGAGTGCGCTGGCAGGTTCTAGCGCGAAAACCTGCGGCCATGGGGTTTCCGCTTGTGCTCGCGGGCAACCCGACAGTCAACCTGCGCAAACAAGATGCGCCGCGAGGACGCAAGGGCCTTGGAGTGCCACGTCAACGTTGCTCGAACGAGGCCTGCCAGCGAACGTCGCTAGGGGTAGACCGAAGGGCCACAGCCTCAGGACCAACCATAAACATTTGCTCATCCTTGCTACCGGGCCGCTTTCCACGCGGACCCATGTTGCGCGCGGCGGCCGCCCGCGCGCAAACCCGCGTTTCCTGCGCCCCCTGGCACAAGCGCGCCCTGGCGCATTCCACGGAGGGGCCACGCTGGGCGCAGCGGCTTCCCGGCGCGCAAGCCCGCGACCCTGGCGATGTGGACGCGCAGGCACCCTGGGTGCAGGCGGCCTTCTGGCGCGCAAACCTGCGACCGTGGCGCTCTCGCGCATTCAGCGCGCGGGCCGCCTTGGATGCTCAGGCCGCCATTCGGCGCGACCCTGCGACCTTGGCGCTCTGTGCGCGCAGCCCGAAATGGGCGCGCAGGCGGCCTGCCGCTGCGCGAGCAGCGCCGTCAACGCACAGCCGCGCGGGCGCGCAGGCGACCTTCCGACGCTCAGTCATGCGAGTCTGACGCCCCCCACGCCCCCTGGCACGCAAACGCCATGCCTGGCTTCCCCCGCGCGCGGGCGACTTTGGGCGCGCGGGCGGCCTGCCAGCAAGCGGGGGATGCGCTGGGATGGCAAAGCGGAAGCGCGGGCGAAATGGCAACGGGCAGCGCCTGCGAACGCGGCGCGCCGCTGCAGCGCTGGCGTTTCCCGCGCACTTGCCGCGCAGGGTGCGAGCGGCCTACCGGCGCGCAAACCTGCGACCCTGACGTTTCCTGCGCCCCGCGGCGCAGGCGCGCCCTGGCGCTCTCCGCGCGTGGGCCGCGCCAGGCGCGCGGCCCCCCGACGCGCGAGCCTGCGGCCGCAGCGATGAAGGCGCGCGGGGACCACCCTGGGGACATGTGGCCTACATGGCGCTGGCGCGCGAGCCGGCGACCGTAGCCCCTGCTGCGCGCGGGCCGCCTTGGATGCGCAAGCTTCTTCTGGCGCGAAATTGCAGCCTCGCCGCTCTGCGCGCGCAGCCCGAGATGGGCGCGCAGGTGGCCTGCGGGAGCACAGACCTGCGGGCGCGCCGCAGGCGACGCCGGGGGCGCGGGCGGCCGCCCTGCTCGCAGGAAGCGCAGGCACGGCAACGAGGAAACGCAGGGCGGGGCGCACTGCCGAATGACCCGCGCCGCTGCGGCACGCGCGCCAGCCGCGCAGGGCGCAGGCGGCCGCGCCTGGTTGCGACATTGCGCGCGCAGGTGGCTTTCCGGCGCGCGGGTCTGCCGGCGTCGCTTCCCGCGCCTGTCTGCGAAAATCCAGAGCGCTGGCGCGCGAACCTGCCAGCCCGCGCACTCCGCGCCCGGTTGCGCCCGGAAGCGTGCCGAGGTGCGAAACCGCATGTGCGCGGGGGCCCTCCCACTGGCGAGCGCAGAGGTGCCGGCGCGCAGTCTGGGGCAGCAGCGCATCTTGGTCCCCGCTGCTTCCTTTTGCGCAGCGCAGCCCTCGTTGTGTTCTCGTGCGTCCCTCGCTCGGCTCGACCTCGCTCGGGCTGGCCTCGGCTCGACCTCGCTCGCTGGCAGCTTGGCGCTCGTCGCGGAGGCCCCGGGGGGGGGGGGCAACGGGCGCGGCCTCTGGCCTCGCTGGATCGTTCGTTGGCGGGGCGTGCCCTGGCGCTCGCCCGCCGCACCGGTCGGCGCAGGAAGAAAGCCTCGCGGAGCCCTCGCCGTCGGCGCAAAGCGCGGGAAAACGCGTGGGCGCGCAGTGTGGCCGCAGCGCCACGCTGCCGCCAGCGGGGCGGGCGTTGTCCAGTGCGTCGGCCGGCGGGGTCTCGAGTGACCCTGGAGCTCGCAGAATCTGGCCGCGCCACTCGGGGTGCTCAACTCCCCGCGCGGGCGCGCCTGACACTTCCACTGGAAGCGACCCCGGAAGTTTCCTCCATCGCTCCGAGGGGTTGGCGTCCCGATGCGTCTGACAGGCGGTGTCTTGGCGCGCTGTGCCGCCAGCTTCCCGGCCAGGAATGGGACGCGATGGTGGGAAAACCAAGGATGGGAGGGTGCTCGGCGCGATGCATCCTGCGGTGTTCAAAACGATGCGTTCTGCGGATATCCGTCCGCGTCGCGCGCCTGCGAGTGGCAAACCCTTCACCAGCCCAAACGGGCGCGAAAGCAGCCCCTCTCGGGGATGGACAGACCTCCCTTTAGTAAAACGTGGTTTAGTGAAAACGACCTCGGGCCCAAACCTGGCGGGCGCAAGCCTGGAAAATAACGGCCGCGGCGCCCTCTCGAGAACCGAAAACGGACAAGTCACTAATCGACGTGTCACTGTTCGGGGGTCTGTCCGCCCCCAACCCTCGCGAGCTCGGGGCCACAGGCCGGACAGCGTACAAAACGACAGGCAACGCCGCAATCCCTTACGGACATCGGCGCGCAAAAACCCCAGGAGACCCAGTGCCCCGCGAAACGTGAACTGCCTACCCCCCGCAGAGCAGCTAGCACACCGGCGCATGAGAAAAGTATGCGGCCCCCGTCCGGCACCTGGGGCACTCGCCCACCCTCCTGTGTCACGAGCGCCGCCAGCCGAATACCTCGGGCCTCGCGCTGAAGCATTTTGTTCGCCTCTGTGGGCCACAAACGCCACCAGACGAAACCTTCCAGGTCGCGAGCAACCAGACGGACAGAAGGCCAGACGCGACAGGCAAACAACTGACAACCCACCGACGAACACCACCCCTCGAGGTAAGACGTGGGAAACCGTCCCCAATCGCACGAGGGCCAACTGCTCCCATTAAGGAGCGCTTGCTGCCGCAAGCCTGCAACTAGGAGGAGAAGAAGCCCCGAGGCTAGGATGACCGGACTCCGTGCGCTCCTTTAACGTCTTCGTTGCCCCCGATATCGCTGCTCGATTCTGGGGGCGACGAAGACACAGCCCCCCGAGGCCGAAAGAGCCAAACACGTCCCCAAGCCAAGAAACTCGAACCTGCCCCCCCTGCTTCAAGCACGAAGCGCGGTCAGAGAGCGGCGCAAACCCGGATTCGGACTCGAAGGGGCAAGGAGCGGCGACAGCAGAGAGACGCCATGCGGAGGAGGAGGAGGAGGAGGAGCAGGAGGAGGAGGAGGAGGAGGAGGAGGAGGAACGGAGGAGGAGCAGGAGGAGGAGGAGGAGGAGGAGGAGGAGGTAGGGGGTGGAGGAGGAGGAGGAGGAGGAGGAGGAGGAGGAGGAGGTGGAGGTGGAGGAAGAGGAGGGGGAAACTAATGACCAGGAGGGGGAGGGGGAGGAGGACGGGGGAGGGTGGAGGAGGAGGAGGAGGAGGAGGAGGAGGAGGGGTGGGGGAGGAGGAGGAGGAGGAGAGGAGGAGGAGGAGGAGGAGGAGGAGGAGGAGGGAGGAGGAGAGGAGGCAGGAGAGAGAGGAGGAGGAGGAGCAGGAGGAGGAGGAGGAGGAGGAGGAGGAGGAGGAGGAGGAGGAGGACCAGGAGGGGGAGGGGGAGGAGAAGTGGGGAGGGAGGAGGATAAGATGGGGGGAGAAGGGAGAGGAGGAGGAGGAGGAGGAGGAGGAGGAGGAGGAGGAGGAGGAAAGAGAACCAGTGCTGGGCCACCTCAGACCCCCAAGCCGACTCCACGGTTGGAGGCCACCTGCAGCGACGAGGCCCCGCCCCACGCCGACGGCAGGCCTGCGCGGCCCGGCCCTCCGCGGGCACCAGGACGCGCAGGCGCCGCAGCGCCGCCAGCGCCTCGGCCATCTCCTGGCGGCAGGGGCGCCGCGGGCCCGCCCGCCGACGGCGCGTCCCTCGCGGCGGGGCCGCGCCCTCAGGAACCCCTGGAGATCCGCCTTCGAAGGCAACTCGTGGGAGCCTCCCGTACCCTCGTGTCGGCTCTGGCGAGTCGACGCCAATCGATGCTAAATCGTCGCTGGCATCGACGCAAACCCCGTTTTGATCGACGCTAAATCGGCGCAATCTCATCGACTCCCAGACGCTACTCGACGACAATCGACGCTAGACACGAAACTGAAAGGGTACACCACGATCCCATGATGTGCAACCGGATCCGCCGATCAGGCATGTGAGTTTAAAAAGATGCCTGAGCTTTTTAGCCTCATATTTGCTGGGGGTGGTGCCTGGCAGGGGAAAACGAGGGGGAGGGTGTCGATGGCTCAATGTCGGTTTGACTCGCTGCGTGCATGGCCATTTGGCTGCAGGCCTTCAGCGCGGCCAGGGGAGCCCTGGGATAAAGAGTTCCCCCCCATCGCCTTCCCTACCCCTACCAACTGCGCCCAGCACTTACATTCCTTAACGCATCCCTCTTCTCTACTGTCACGAACTCTCCGAGTGCTGGTACGTGCAGTGTGCGTGCGTGCGTGCGTGCGTGCGTGCGTGCGTGCGTGCGTGCGTGCGTGTGTGTGTGTGGTTCCTGGAGGGCACTCGCGAGAGGTGGCAACTTCGCTTCACAAAGGGGGGGGCGTGTACTAAATTCCGCCCCCCCGCCAGAGGACTCACCTTGTTATTGATCTGCCCATCCCGAGGGCCCCGGGGACCTCCCAAAATGTAGCCGAGCACCTCCACTCCCCCCGAGGACCCCTACCCCGAACCCCCTCCCCACGACCCCCTCGGGCACACACCCCCGGGGTGCGGGCAAGACTTCTGTCCATGTCTACTGCGATATGGAGTTTCGGGTTCCCTTCCCCAGAAACCAGAGGCGCGCTGGATATGGATACATTTGCCCCCTAGAGGCTCGATTTTTATCCATATCCAGTGCGCCTCGGCCTTCTGACGCTCCTTCCCAAAAAATCCAAGACGCACTGGATATGTATACGAACCTTGCCCGCACGGGGAACTCCCCGGGGGGGCACGAGCGCCGCGGATCGGCGGCAATGGCCAGCGGCCACTCGAAGGAGGAGCCCACACATCGGCGGCGCGCCCGGGGCGGAAGTGCGAGGAGGCAGGCCTGCTCAGGAGGCTCGGAGGGCCTCGGGCCGCCTGCTGAGACGTCTCCCCAGTCTGCCGAGAGGGCACAGGAACTGTGTCAGAAGGCGCGATGTTGGGAGGCGACTGCTGGGAGGTTTTCGTCGGAAGGATTAAGGCGGATTAAGCCCCTTTTGGAAGCTATTTCGCCGGAAGGGGCCTCGGATTAAGCGGGATTCAGCCGGATTAAACGGGATTAAGCGGGATTAAACGGGATTCAACGGAACTAAGCCGGATCTAGCCAGACTTCGGACCAGTGCTAAATCCGCCGATCCGGCGTGTGAGTTTCAAGGAGTCTCAGCTACAGCCTCGAGGCTGAGCTTCAGCCTCTGGGGGGGTCGCCGGGGTGGCTCTGCCGGGGAAGGGGGGGTGGGGGGGGGGGGGGGGGTGCGAGTTTCCGGCGAACCCCGGGGCCGCTCCGGGGGAGTGGAAGATAGGGGGGGGGGGGGCGCCATGCTCCGCTTTTTCCGGCGCTTTGGAGGAGGGGGGGGGCCCAAGAGACCCCCAAGGGGTTCCAAGAGGGCCCCGAGTCGCCGAAAAATCGCTCCAAGACGCCCGAGATGGCCTCCAGACGGCCCAAGGTGTCTCCAAGACGCCCCAAGAAGCTTCCAAGAGGCCTCCCAAGAGGGCCCCAAGAGGCCAGAATCGTTGATTTTCATTGGTTTTCTCAGGGTTTTTAGCGTTCTTGCCTTTTCGGGCGTCCGACGCTCGAAGACGGCCCAAGAGGCCCCCAAGTCCGTCCCAAGACGGCCCACGATGCTTCCAACACGGCCCAAGAGAGCCCCAAGACGGCCCAAGAGGGCCCCAAGACGGCCCAAGAGGGCCTCTGGACAGCCCAAGAAGGCCCCAAGAGAGCCCCAAGAGGGGCCCAAGAGGGGGACCACGAACCGAAAGAACCGAGCTTTCCGCCCCAAGAGGCCCCCAGGAGGCCCCAAGAGACCCCCAAGGGGCCCCAAGAAGCCCACAAGAGGCCCAAAAGAGGTTCCAAGAGGCCCCAAAACAGCTCCCCAGAGGCCTCCAGACTGCCTCCGGCAGGCCCCCGGTTTCTTCCGCGGCACCGCCCAGGGCGCCACCGGCAGGATGTCCTCCGTCTCATCGTTTTCCTTCAAGTTATCGCCTCTTCCTCATTCTCCTCCTCCTCCTCTGCGACCTCACTCCTATCCCTCAACGATCGCGTCACCGAGTGCCTCTTCTTTGAAACATCCTCGCTCTTCAAACGCACATCCATACACACATGCATACATACCTACATTTAAACACATTTGCATACATAGAAAAACAATCTTCCAGACATACATACTTACATTCACACACATACACACATATTATCATACACACATACAAACATACATACAAACTAAATACATACATACGCGCACAAGCATACATACATACATACGTACCTACACACAGGCACACATGATCAATGCATGCATACATGCATGCACGCGTACATACACACACATATATCGTGAAACTCACCGCGTGCTCGAAACTTGAGAGAGACCGCGGGAAGTCGAGAGAAGCCGCGGAACGAGGCCTCTACTACTACTACCACTACTACCACAACCACTACTACTACTACTACTACCACTACTACTACTACTACTACTACTACTGCTACTACTACTACTACTACTACTACTAATACTACTACTAGTACTACAGGAGCGTTTCCCAACTAGTATGTGTGTGTGGGTGATGCTGTGTGCGCATGTCTGCGGCGCAGGTTCAGTGGTGTGACTGTGTGTGTGCGTTTGAGTGTGCGCCCATAATTTCTGCGTCTGGAGAATAACCCCGAGCGACCCGGATCGGCGGCACTGGCCGAAGGCCACTACAATCAGAATTTGACCTCCCAAGAGTTGCATCCCAAGCGATGGCTTCTGAGAAGCCGGGTGACCTCCTGAGAAAGGCTGCCCCCTCGCATTTCCCTCCCAGGCTCGCCGCCGAGCAAGAAACGTACGCGCCCAACCAAGCGAGCAAAGGCCACATGCATCTAGAAGGACGCGTCGGTAGACTCGACGCTGCGCCATTGGCAACCGAGAGGAAAATCAAAGTGCGTGCAACATTCCAGCTGAAGGCGGAAGAAAAGGGCGGGAGAGAGATTACCCATCGGCCGGGAAGTAGGTAAAAACATGGAGCAAGAAGGCGTTGAACAAATATTGGATTCCGTCCGCCCCCTTGGGAGGACGGAAACATTGAAGCCACTCGATTGTTGAAGTAGGAAGGCGCTCAAAGTAGATTGGAATCTGGGGATCGAAAAATACCTACTTCATCGACCGATGGGCACATATGACACAAACGAGAGGGAGGCTCAAAAGTGTCACGCTTAGGTCGGGCATGTCCTCCTACAGTCGGATGTTGAAAGAAAAAATAGAAATAATCGAAACGTATGCAACAATGATCCAACATACTCAAAAAAACGTATCCCGACTATTTTGATTGACTAATTTTGAATATTCCCCATGTAGAAAGATGGGCCCGACTGAATATTACGCTATGTTGTACACTTCAACTGCCCCTCGTTGCCGGAGCCGACCACGGCGGCGACGACCAGCCCACTTTTTGGGGGGCGCATCCCTGTCTTGACATACACTTTGCCTCACCAGCTACTGATTTCCACCTGTCGAGATGTTCTCCTACAGTTGTTGTTTGCCTTTCACATGGGAGGTCTGGCAGATGTCTCCTGCGCTTGCTTCAAAACCTCCAGTGATGACTCTGGACACATCGGAATACGCCAGACCACGAACATGCATACGGCCCCCCAGTCCACGAGAACAGCCTCGTGATACGAACGTTCGTGCAATGTGCACTTTCGAAACCAACGTGGATTCGTGCATATGTCCGTCGTTCTTGCGCTCCTGAGGAATCGGCAGTGCTTGTTTTGGATCGACTCTCAAGCGAACAAAAAAGGAGGCTTCGCGTTTGCCACCCTGAGGGCTCGTTGGGAAAAACTGCCTACGGTGCAACATCGAACGAGCATCGTCGACGATGGAACCGCAGGCGCAGCGGAGAGATGAAGTGTACAGTGCGGAGCGCCCCCTAGCGGACCCGAGTAACGACAGCGCGATGTTTTTACGCGTTCCGGTGCGTGAGGTCGCCTGCGCGCTGTGGACTCTTTTCGTCTGAGACCTCCTCTGCGGCCGCCTCTCCTGCATCCTCCTCTTCTTCTTACTCTTGATTCTTGTTCGTATCCGTATGATTCTAATTGTTTCTTCCACGAAATATTAGTATGATTATCCTGATCATTCTTATCATTCGTCCCCTTCTTCTGATTATTGTTCCTATGATTGTTCCTCCTCCTTCTCCTCCTCATCTGCTTCATGACGAACGAACAACACGCAACTATACCCATAGATGAGACGGAGGGGGCTATGGAAGCCTCCCCCACAGGGTCCGACAACCCGCACGCATACCCATAGCCAGTCCTCCTCCCTCCGACCCTCCTCTGGGTATGGGCGTGTGTTGATCTTTGGTCATCCAAGTGTATCCCTAGCCCGTGTATCGGTGTCCACAGCCCTTCTTAGTCTCCCCAGCTAGTTGGCCCGCCAGCTGTTTGACGCTTGAACGTGTTAACGACCGCTCTGGCTGCTGACAGGCAAATGTTTAACGCTTCTGTTTCGACGTTTTTCGTTCCAATTCCGGCATCGTGGGTGCTCCCCGGTTGCGTCGCCGCGTTCCTGTTACCGGCTCCGTCTCCGAATTCCAATCCCGGCGCCGCGTTTGCCCCGCCTCTGGGAGCCTGTGCTTTACCGCTTTCATGTTCCAGCAACAATCCTTTCGGCGGTGGACAAACCTCCCTTCAGTAAACCACCCTTCAGTGCCAAAAACAAGGGACCGAAACCGACGGACCTGGACCCGCAAAAATGACGGCCGAGACGCCCCCTCGCGAACCGAAAACAACCAATTCGCCAACCGACATGCCAGGGCAGGCCTATCAGCCTCCGATCCTTTTGAACACGGTGAAAAAACAAGCCCTGCCGATTGTGGGGCCCACGAGGGCTGCGCCCGAGAACTCGGGCGCGCAACGTTCCGCCGACTGCGGCGGCCGCCTCCCGCCGCCTCGCCCGTTTCCAAGACCGAGTCGACGGCGGCACCCACGGCACCGCGGCGGCGGCGGCGGCGGCGACGACAGACAAGAGCCAGGGTACTTGGGGGCCTCCCAGATGGGGTCCGAGTAGACGGGGTCGAGGACTCGCGCCGCATCACCGATACATCGGCGAAGCATCGGAGAGGTCAGCGATGCATTGGCACCGTCAGCGTGGACAAACTCTGGCTCCACATCGGGCCGCATGGTCGGTGCACCGCAGGTGCAGAGCGATCCTCCGACCCCATCTACCAGGACACCCTTTGAGGGGCCTGAAGTTCAAAGATTGGCGATAACGCCTGTTACTGGCCCCGCCATCCGTGGGAAAAACACACACACACAAACCTGTGGGAAAAACACACACAGTGGGAAAAAACACACACACAGTGTGTGTGTGTGTGTTTCCCCACAGTGTGTGCGTTCTTTTCCCACACCCCCCTTGGGCACCACGCACAAGTGGCCCTAGGCAAGAGTGACCGCTGGTGCGCGGCTCGAGGTGAAGAGGCTGGGACAACCCCTATGCAGGCGCGCAGGCCGCGGCTGCCGTCTCGTATTCCATGAGATCGGGGTGCCCCGTTGGGCCCGCACCAATGTCGGCCCGCAACAAACCTCCCTCTAGTAAACCTCCCATTCATGAAAACGGCCCGGGACCGAAACCGACGGACCTAGACCCGCAAAAAGAACGGCCGCGACGCCCCCTCGCGAAGCGAAAACGGCCAATTCCTGAGTCGACGTGTCAGGGTAGGAGGTCTGTCCACCCCCGCACCAATGGTCACTCCGGCGAAGTGCCACTCTTGCACACGGTCAACTCCCCCTCCACCCCCCCCGGATCACGTCCCGATTCGCGCTGGCGCCGACTTGGCAGGCATCCCCAGGAGGCACACGCGGACATCGTGACGCGACCCGCCCCCGCCCTCCCTCGCCCCGCACGGTCGGGCCCGTGGTCGACAGGGGACAAAAAGAAAGGGTCTCTCCAACGGCGGCGGCGGCGGCCCTGACGACGACGACAACGACGCCGGCGATGACGCCATCTGCGGCGGCGGCGAAGACGACGACGGCGGCGGCGATGACGAGGACGGACGTCGTCCATAGGCCTCCACATCCCGGAGGCCCCGAGAGGCTTCTGGTCGTGGAGGCTCAGGAGCGCGCACCCAGATACCCCAAGCATCGATCCTCGATCGATCGATCCTCGGACCTGGGTCCTCATCCCCAGGCGGCCGCAGCGGCGACGAGTATGTTGCCCCCATCATACTTAATGACCACATCCCAGAAATACTTACGCGCACCCAAAATAATATCGCAACAGTGTCGAACGAATATCGCCCCCCAGGGCCCGACACGGGAAACTCCTCCAAATTCGTTACTTTCTAGATGTTCGAAATTATTCCGGTGATCGCGGCTAAAGTAAGTCGGAAAATCATAAGGCAACGACAACAGGCTGGCGACGGAGGAGGCGGCGCCGACATGCGCCGACACAATCTGTCCCATCCGCGGCCCCAAAAAGGTCCCGACCGCTTCCCCTGGGCGAGTTTTTCGCCCCGGATCCACGCCTGATGGTCCTGAAAGGGGACCCCAGAATCGAATCGATAAGTCGGAACGGCGATCGAAATGAATCGGATCGGCGGAAATCGGCAGCTGAATCGGGAAAAGTCGAATCGGCAGAAATCGGCAGGCTAGTATGCTTCCAATCAGAAACCGGAACCCAAATCTGAATCCCAAGTCGAATCGAATCAGAATCGGATGCAATCGAAACCGAATCGAATCGAATCGGAGGATTCGAAACGAGCCCTGGTCCTGGTGCCCGATCACGGGCCCCCAGAGGCCGACAAGGAACACCGCGCGGATTTCAAAAACCTGACCGTCGGCCCGTATAGGGAGGATGCGCGATACGGATGCAGGGGCCTTAAAAGGCCGTTTCGACGCTTCTCGAGCAGGGCGCGGCCAGCGCGATCGGTCAAGGATGGACTGGGGAAGCAAGGATGCAAGGGTAAGCTTGGAGCATCGCTCATCCTTACTGTGCGGGCTGACTGCATCATCGGGACCCGGGTCGGCAACACGCAGGAGTGACCCTGGGTAATCAAGAGTGACCCTTGGTGCGCTGCTTTTTGGAGGCCGCGGGGGAACCGAACACGAGCGCGCAAGACGCTACTACCGCATCGCGTGCGGCGATCGGGGGACCCCAGTGGGCCCGAACCAACTGTCACTTCGCCGAAAAGTCGCGATTACGTGTAGTCGAACCCGGGACGGAGACAACGACAGCGGCAACGGCAGCGACGACGGCGGCGGAGGCTCCCCGCGCGCGCTCGGCGCGGCCCATTTGCGGAGAGCAGCCTCCTCGCGCACGGGCGTCGCCGCGGTCGCCACCCGACGCCGACGTAACCGGGCCGCTTGCCGGCGCCGCGCCGTCGTCCTCGTCGTCACCGCCGGCGCCGCGACTCCTCAGCGCCAAAGTCGACGACGCCGTCGTCGTCGCGTCGCCGGCGTCGCCTCGACGGTGTGGTCGACGGCGAGGAATCGCGGGCGATGACGATCGACGACCCTCGACGAGGGAACCAAGATGATTACGACGAGCGACGACAGTGACCATGACGAGCGACGACAACCTATGCCAAACGACGACGACCTACGACGACGAGCCACCACAAAGAGGACCGACGACGACGACCGAGGACGCGACCAACGACGACCGACGTTTTTTTTCTCTCGACCTCTGGTGAACGCGCACACCGTGGCCGTGCCAACCACGTTCGGGCACTCGCAAAAATCCGCCGACCCTGTCGGCGTGTGGAAGAGGCTGTTCCGTTTGAGCAAGAGGCGGGGGAGGAGGAGGAGGAGGAGGAGGAAAAACGCGGCGAGCAGACATACCCATGCAGGAGGAGAGGGGGGAAGGGAGGCGGCAAAGGAGCAGCAGGCAAGCAAGCACGCACGACGGGGGCGGGCGGGGGGCGGGGAGGGCGAGGGTCGTCGGTTGCGTACGGGTGGTCGTCGTGGGTCGTCGTGCCACTGGGGGTCGTCGCGAGTCGTCGGGGGAGGGGCGGAGGGTCGTCGTGGGGCTGGGGCGGAGGGCCGTCAGGGGAAGGGAGGGTCGTCGCGGGGCAGGGGCGGGGGGCCGCGGGGCCGGGGCGGAGGGCCGTCGGGGGCTGGGGCGGAGGGTCGTCGTGGGGCTGGGGCGGAGGGTCGACGGGGGGAGGGGCGGAGGGTCGTCAGGGGAAGGGAGGGGCGGAGGGCCAGCCGGAGCCGACGGCGAATCACACGGCGTCGGCTGCGGCCGCCGCCGTGGCCGCTGCTAGGCGCGCCGCCGCCGCGCCCGTCGACGGCTGCAGCCGCCGCAGCACCGCCCGCGCGTTCTCCCGATGAAGGGAGATTGAGAGTCGCTGGGCGTGCCGGTCCGCCACTACGGCGGCTTCCTCCCCGGTGGCGTCAGCCACCCGCTTGGCCAGGATCGCGAAAGCTCTCCTGGCCTCGCGCCCCCACCCGCCACCGTGGGCCTCCACCACCATGGGTATGAAGGTGAGGCCCTGCGCCACGCACTGGCGCTCGGTGTCCTGGTGCAGCCGCTTGAACTCCTCGTAGCGCTCCGTGGCCGCGCTGGGGGACGCGGCGGAGGCGGGGAGGAGGTCGGCGCGAAGCCCGGAAGTGACGGCGAAGTCCCAGGCTGCTGGCACCCCGTTGCGCCACCTGGGCAGGTAGACGTCAGCGGGGCGGCGGTCGCCGGCGTCCAAGTCCTGCCCGTCCAGCTCGCCGCCCGGCGGCCCCTCGTTGGCGGCGCGCGGTGGAAGGAGCCCTGGCCGCTCCAGCTCTGCCCCCGCGAAGCCGGCCGCCTGCGCGTCAAAGAACCCCTGGTTCCGGAGCGCGTTGTGCCGCTTTGTCCTGTCGCCCCGGCAGGAGCAGGCAACGGCGTGGTCCAGCCAGACGTCCATCACCTCTCCGCAAGCGGGGCAGAAGTCCTCCCGGTCGAGGAACTGGACTCGGAGTCGTCGCTGAACCGCCACCTGGCAGAGGCCGTGCTGGAGGCGGGTACCCGCGGCCTCGCTGGGCGGCGCTTGGAGGTAGGCGCCGGCGCCGGGCGCCTGGAGCAGGCTCCGGTGCGCCTGCGTGGCGACCGAGGCGCCCGAGCGGAGGCTAGCGAGCGCCGCGTCGTCAACAGCGTCGCTGAGTTTTTGCTGGTTGCCGTGCTGCTCCAGGTCGAAGGCCACCCTGTCCGCGTCCGAGACGAGGGCGTTGTGGGCCTGCACAACGTTCGCGAGCGCGCCCCCGTCGTGCCCTGCCTCGTCGGTGTAGCCCGGGTAGAGCTGCCTGCAGAGGGCGGAGCAGGCGGCCCGGGAGGCAACGTAGGCTGCGGCCGCGTGCTGTTCGCCTGAGCGCAAGCCGAGGCCCCCCTTCCGCAGCTTGAGTTGCGCCTGCCGCCAGGACGCGTCGGTGAGCGAGCAGCCAGCCACCTGCTCGAGGCAAGCCCTCGCCCTGTCGTCCAGCTCCTGCAGGGCCGCTGTGTGCGCGGTGGGCGGCACTACCCGCGCGCTATAGCCCAGCTTGCAGAACGACGCACACTGGCGCAGGAGGTGCAGGCCGACCTGCGCGTCCTCCAGTGCCCCCAGCGTGTCCAAGAGTTCCTGCGCCGCAGAGACCCGATTCTTCGTGTGCTGGCAGCAGAAGGCGTCGTCGCCGACGGGCGCCCCGAGGAGCTCGAAACTCCTGTCCGTGCGGAGGCGGAACCCCTGCGGGAAGGCGTTCAAGTCTACTGTGCTGTCAGCGCCGCCGGCTGGGACCACCTCGCACTTCCCAGGCCCGGTGCTAAGTTCGAGTCCCACCGCTGCGAGGGCGGCGACCAGCTCGTGGAGGAGGTGCGCCACGGCGCGCCAGTCGCCCGCCAGAGTCCCGTCGTCCAGGAAGAACACCTTGAGGTCGACCTGGCCCGGGGGTGCGGGCCGGGCAGGGTGGGGAGCGGCGTGAAGGACCTGTTCTGCGCACCGCTGGAGAGCCAGCGCGAAAAGCAAAGGTCCAAGAGGGTCGCCTTGCTGGACTCCGCACTCCGAGCGGATCCTGTGCTTGCCGAGGCGGAGGAAAGACGGGCGCGAGTAGCACCAGTCGGCCCACGGCGCCAAGCAGGGGAATTCCTCGTGGAGGGCCTGGAGGAGAGCCTGTCTGTCTAAGGTGTTGAACGCGTTGGAGAGGTCAAGCTTGACGAAAACCTTCTCGCGGTGCCCCAGGTTGCGCGCCCACCACTGGCGGGCGACGTGGACAACCGCCTCGGCCCCTCCAGGCACCGCGACGCCGACTTGGAGCGGCGCCAGGCGGTCGCGCGCCGCGTCGGCGACCTCGCGGCACAGACACTTCCCAACAAGGCGCCGGAGCGTCTCACCGACGGCAACGGGCCGCAAGCCACCACCTTTCTTTGGGAGGGCCACCAGGGAGGCGCCGGCGAAACATTCAGAAACGGAGGCGGGCGCGTGGCCGCAAGCGAGGAGGGCGACCAAGCTGCGCAGCTGTCCGGTGACCTCGTCCCTGTGCGCCGCCGTGCCGAGGGCGTCCTTCAGGTGCTGTGGCCGGAGGCCCGTGGGCCCGGCGGCCGAGCCCCGGGGGAAAGCCCGGACCTCCTTCGCCACCACGGTTTCGTCGACCTGCAAGGCGGCCGCGGCGTGCACGGCAGGAAGGGCGGCCAAGTCCACAGGCTGACGACTCTGCGGATGCTTGCGGCGCATCTGCTGAAGGACGTCGCGGGTTACGGCCGTCGGCGGCTCGCTAACCAGACTGGAGCAGCTCTTGGAGTATTGCGCGTCAGCAGCAAGCTCCAGACACCTTCTGGCCTTGTCGGCGGCGGTGGCGCTTCGCTTGGCCGGGCGTCGCTCCGTGGTCTCGGCCCAAAGGGAAGCCCTTTCGCCGTCCAGCCAACGCCTGCAGAGCTGCCTCGTCTCCGCCTCGGCCGCGTGCCGGCTGCCGCGCCCTCCCCGGGTGTGGGGACGCAGCACGCACTTGGGCAGCATAGCCAGCTGGACCCAAGCCGCCTCGCTGTTGGTGTGAACGACGAGGGCCGTGGCCTGCGTCAGGCACCGCGCCCAGAGGTCCCGAGCACCCTTAGGGACGTACTTCTTCGTGCCGGCCTGGCTGGCAAAGACCTCTTCCAGTGAAGGCAACCCTCGCGGCGGGGGCGGCTCAGTGTTGAGTGCAGCCGGCGCGGCGTCGGCGGCCGCAGCTCGAGCAGCGGGGCGGCACCTCGGGCATACCTGCCCGAACCGCGCGTGGAGGAAACGCTGGCAAACCGTGCATTGCGATAGGCTGTGTTCGTCCAGGTAGGCCTGTGGGACCGGCGGCAAGCCTGGGAACCTGCCGGCCGCACGCTCATTGAGGTGTTGTCGCATTGCCTGATGGTCTGACCAGCCGGCGCTGGCGGCAAGGTCACTGCGAGGGCAGCCCGGGACGGGGCAACCAACCCGGGCGCGCCGGGCGCGGCGCCGTGGAGGGGCCTCGGCTGCGTCTGCAGCTGGTGGAGGCGGCGGCGGGGGTGCTGCACTGGGCGCCGCGGCAGCCGCCTGCGGGGCGGCCATGGGCTCCGCGGCGGGAGCCGCGGCGGGACCTGCGGCCGCGGCGGCCTGACCATGCCCCGCCGGCGGGGCCACCGCGGGCGGCTGGTCAAGGGCAGCGCCGGCCAGGACCTGCGGGGCCACCGCGCCAGGGCCATCGGCGGCAAGACCGGCCGCGCGGCGGAGCTCCGGCAGGGGGACGCCCGCATCGACGTGCATATTCCGCTCGGGATCGATGCCTAGTTCTGCCATCCTCAAGTCCAGGGCGGGGTCCACGCCGGGGTCGTCCCCCTCAGTGAGGTTCCGCCTCAGACGGCGCCCTGGGGACCCGCGGGGAGGACCAGTCTCGACGAACGTGTTGCGGACGCTGACGCCGTGACCCGAGGACGGGACAGCCGCTGGCGCTGACCCTGACGAGGGGGAGCTTGCGGAGGCTGCGGGTCGCTGCAACGACGACTCCTGTGGAGGGGAGCGGCTGCGAGCCCCGTTGCTGGGGGCGTTGCTGCTGGGGGGAGGCCCTGGCCGGCGACTCCCGCCTCCGCGGCGGCAGGTGCAGCGTTGGCGCTCGAAGAGACACGCGTCACACACGTCCGAAGAAGAGGAGCCTGCTGGAAAAGCGGGCGACCGCACGGCTCGGAGAAGCAAGAAGGCGTGTCCTGCCCAACCCGCCGAAGATGACAAACATGTGGAACACCACGGAGACGACAAGCATGTGGAATACCACCCCGGGCTCAATGCAATGGTGGTCGCAAGCGTGATGCATGTACAGATCGGCTGCGAGAAGTGGACGTCCCGGAATAGAGCGGCACCGCACGCTCCTGCCAAGACACGTTGAAAAGGAACTCCGTGAAGAGCCGCCCCGAATGCTAGGAACTTTAAGGGCGCCGACGGCACCCCGGAGGCCGCCATCATCAAGATCGCATGGATCACAGTGGGCATCATCTGGCCGCCGGCGGCGTGAAGATACTCGGCCAAGCATGCGCCGGCTAATGCCGGGGGGGCCCAGCCCATAGCGTCAACAAGCAGGTCCGGCAAGGGGCGCACGCAGAAGTACGCCACGTCCAAGGTGGTCGACATCGCCGGCAAGAACATGCGGAGGATCTTCATCACCGGGGCCGCGACCGCTGCCGGCGCCTGCGGCCACAAACTCTGGGGCACACCAACGCCAAGGGGGCTAGACGATGTGCCAGAAGCGCCGGACACGCTGGCGGCGCAGCTGCGGAGGTGGGCGTGGAAGTACAGCTCCGCCGGCGAGGTGCGCATCGCCGTTGGGCCCGGCGTCGCAACCACCGCATGCACGCCGAGGCGAGGGATGGAGGGCGCGATCAGGTTGAAGGCGGCCGAAGCGTTGGTCCTGGCAGACGGGGCCGGGCCGCAATCCTGTGGCGGAGAACCTCCGGGGCCCCCGAAACACAGCAGCAGGCGGCACCGCAAACAGGGGGAGGGACGGGTGGGGCGATCAGGGGTGGGGTGATAGGAGGGTGGGGTCGCGAAGTCGCATCCCCACCAAGATAAAGTCCCATGCCTCCCCTGGGGAATGGAACAGAGTGGGAGGTGCCATTTCGTACCAGGACCCCCCGGAGCCGGCCAAAGCGTGGGGGAGGAGTCAAGATCTCCATAATCGTTTGGGGAATCAGCCCCAATCCGCACACCAGACCAGGAGCCGGAGACCAGGGTCCACGAGGACCCAGGAAAAGGAGGGTCGATCGCCCCCGCCAGGAATTGGATGCCTCCCCAGGTCCGCGAAGGCGCCCCAGACGACGAAGCGACCAGGGCGTCGAGCTCGACCCCGGGCGAGTAGTCCTCCACGTGCAGCGGCAGCACGGCGCGCGGCGCAGGCGAGGGGCCGGCGGGCTCCTCAGGCGGGGTAGCCCTAGAAGGAGAAGAAATAAACCCACTGCCGTACCCCGCGATCCAGACATGCTGGTGCGGGGACGGGCGGGAAGGAGGCAGGGGAGGAGAGAACGGGCAGGGAGGACAGGAAGAGGAGGGGGAGGAGGAGGAGGACGTCGGAATTGGAGTGGCCCCCAGGGGCAACCCGTGGAGGGGGTAGGGAGGGTGGGCGAAAGTAGGCCCCGGAGATCCTGAACCCAATTGCACTTGGACCATCCCCTGAGTCCACGAACGCGCACGAGACGGGCCAGCCGCGCGCGCAGCCGAAGCACCTGGATCACCAGAGGCGCCCCGGCAACCCGCAGGACCACCAGGCTCGACGCACTCTTGGTTGCAGCGGCACGTCAGGACCGCGATGCCCTCCACCGAGCTGGGGCACGGGACTCCCAGAGTCAGTGCATTGCTCGCGGGGATGGGCTCCTGCGCCAGCGCAGTGTGGCGCCGGGGGAAGGTCGTCGGCGACGGGAAGGGGTCGGGCGTCCGGTTTGGGTGGGGCGTCAGGTATGGCGTCGGGTTGGGGTAGGGCGTCGGGTCGGGGATCTGGCTGAGGTGGGGCGTCGGGCTGGTGTAGGGCGTCGTGCTGGGGCAAGGCGTCGGGTAGGGCGTCGCGTTGGGGCAGGGCGTCGGGTTGGGGTACGGCGTCGCGTTGGGGCAGGGCGTCGGGTTGGGGTAGGGCGTCGGGTAGGCCGTCGGGCTGGTGTGGGGCGTCGGGTATGGCGTCGTTTTTGGGTAGGGCGTCGGGTGAGGCGTCGTGCTGGGGCAGGGCGTCGGGTAGGGCGTCGGGTGAGGCGTCGGGCTGGGGTAAGGCATCGAGTTGGGCGTCGTGCTGGGGTGAGGCGTTGGTCGGACACGGGCGTGGGCTGCGTGGGGCAGTCGATCGTCCTGCGGCCGAGCACACACGGGTGTCCGGAGACGTGGGGGTCGACGGGGGTGCAGGCAAGCAGGCAGGCAAGAGGAAGAGTGGTGCGGAAAGCAGGGGGGAATTGAGTCTGCTCAGCGCATTCGGAGGGAGAGGAGGCTGGAGGCAAAGAGAGGCGATGTATCTGTGGGACTTGAGGGCGCCGTGTCATGACCACGACCGCCTCCGAGATCCCCGAATTCACACACGAAGCGGGAGATGGGGGAGAAGAGCAGGGGAAAGGAGGAGGAGGAAAAGTATACCAAAACTGGATAAAATAATTCTCATAGGCATTCGCGGCAGCCAGCGCCCCATCGCTGGTTGCATCCCCGAAAAAGTGACCGGCGCGAGGAAGAGCTGAGGAGAGGAAGGCGGGACTGGCAGGCGTACGAGCAAGGATGCAAGCAAGAAGCGTCGCGCCCGTCAGATTGTCCTTGTCCTTGAACGACTTCTTCTGCTCGTGGCAACCGGGCCCAACGGTGTTCGCGAAGGCGGCGATGTAGTCCATGCACTCGCAATTGGGCGTGATGAGATCGCCCTGGCACCAACACATAGACTCACCACCCATGTCCACCTGCTGGCGCAGGCCATATAACTGGCACGTCTCGGTGGTGTGGTCCTCGTCCGTGTGCCTCTCGATGCCGTCGCCCGCGGAGCTCGAGGGCCAGATGCCGACAACACTCGTGGCCTGTGGGATGTTCTCCTGGAGGATCCCGTCGAGCATCTCCTTAGCGTCCGCGGATAGCTCCTCGGCCCCCAGATCAGCGCGCTCGTCCTTGAAGATGGCGGGGTGGTCGCGCTTCGGGTACTGGAGGTGCCCGTGATCATGTGCCATCCGCCACCTTGCTCGAGACGCCGACGGCGGCTGCCAGGGCGCACCGGCCAGCAGCCAGGCGCCCAGCGCGGCGAGCGCCGTAGCGACGCGTAGCCTATGCCACACGCCGCCGGGGCGGCGCGGCCAGCCTGGCGCCGCGCGTCCAGACGCTTCGCGGCTCAGCGCGGGGCGACCCGGCGCGAGGGCGGGAGCTCGAAGAGGCCGCTCGCCTGGGAAGACTCGGAGCAAATTCCCCGCCCCGTCTTCTTCCCAGAACTCGTGAGCGGAGTCCCCGTCCGCATCAATCAGCAGCGGCGCGCCGTGCGTGCCCAGGTCTGCGCCGGAGCCGTCCCTCACCTCCGTGATGAGCGGCTCCCCGGAGTGGAACAGCGTCGGCCCCGATCGCTCGGCCGGTGCCCCCCCTGGGGGGGCCGTCATCGCTGCGGCCGCCCGCCCGCCAGAAGTAGGGAGAGGAGGAGGCCGGGAGGGGGCTCGCGCGGCCGACGACGACCGACGTTGACGAAAACGACGACGACGACGCCGACGCCGACGCCGGCGCCGACGCCGACGCCAGCGCCGACACCGACACCGACAACGACGCCGTCGCCGCCGCCGCCGGCGACGACGACGACCGACGACGACCGACGACGACAAACCACGACGAGCACTGACGACGACGACCGAAGACGACGACCAACAACGACCGACGACGACAGCGACGACGACGCCGACGCCGACGCCGAACACGTCGCTGGCGCCGACGCCGACGCCGACGCCGATGCCGACGCCGCCTGCGCCGTCGCCGCCGCCGAGAACGACGACGACGACGACGACGACGACGACGACGACGACGACGACGACGACGACGACGAATAAGACGACGACGACCGTCGGCTGGCTGCGGCGGCGGGCAGCGTACCGGCTGCCGCCGCCGAGGGTCCTCGAGCGGCTTCCGCCCCCCGAAGAGCAGCCGCAGCGCCACCTGCTGCGCCAGCGGCGGGAGCAGCCTCTGGGCCAGGGCGGGGGGCCTCCTCGGAGATGCTGCTGGGATCGGCCAGGGGGGGGGCTTCCGAGGGCCCTTGGAGAGAGACCCTGCTCGGGCTGGCGCGGGTGCGCGGCTCGGAATTTTGTAAACTCTTCGCCGGCTGTCGGCGGTTTTTGTCAGCCTCGGGATGCTCTGCAGCAGCTGCGCCTGGCCGGAAGGGTTCCCGGGGTGCCCGAATCGTCCCGAACGGCCGCTGGAGGCCCGAGTTATGGCCCGAATGCCCCCTGGGACGGGGATGCTGGCATCGGCGCGGGGTTCGCCCCAAGGGGATGGAGAGCTTCGCAGTGGATGCCAAGGTGGGTCACACCTGGCCTAGGTTGGCATATCAGGGGGCTCCACGTGCCCAGAGTGGCATAAAAACTGAGCAAACCACGGCAAGCTGACTCCGTCCAACTTGGCGGAATTACCTAACACCCCTGAGCCACCGGGGGCATTCGGCACCCACTTATGAGCCAGGCCAAACCAAACAGAACCGCCCCTGGCGTCCACTGATGGCCCCTCACATCCCCGCGCCGGTCCCAGTGCCGATCCCAGTGCTATGGGGGGGCCTATGGGGGGGGCCTGTACTCAGGGGAGGCTAGAGCACCGCTCCATGATGTGCTGCTGAATCGAACCTGCAGGGTGAGCCCTTTCCCCAATCAATGCTGCGGTACGGATCGTCTGCGCGCCCCGTCTCCGTCGTCGTCGTCGTCGTCGTCGTCGGCATCGTTGTGGTCGTGGTGCGTGTTGCTCTCCTCGGGACGTGCTTCCCGTATGCAGTGACCACCACTCAACCCCTGAGCCGATCCCGGTAAGGGGTCTTAGAGAGAAACTCAAGAAAATGCGATCACCCACCAGCAACTCATGGCAACAGACATGCTGGCCGCCTGGCGAGTCTGCCCGACCGCCAGCTTTTGGTGGTTGAAAGTTGTACGTCGTTGGCTCGAGACGCTGTCCCTTTTGCGACCTCCCAGCAGGTTATGGCTTGGAGTAGACCACCACTGTGCCGCCAGAGGTCATCTCTGGGGTCCCGATCTCCTCCTCTGCCCTCCCTCGCGGACCCGAGGGCCCCTTTGATTCCCTTGGCGGTCCTCCCGAGGCCCAGTGCGGGGGAAACGCTAAGGGAGGGGGATATGCCAGGGGCTCTCAGAGAGACCAGGCGAACGGGGGAGTCCATAAGCTTTGTATAGGCCGAACCAGAAGAGGCCGTTGCAATATTGATCCTTTCTGGCAAGGCAAGCTCCCCAAATTTGGGGACACGCGCGCAACCAAGAAGATGCCCTTGCCCTCTCGGTGTTTCCACCAGGAATGATCGTGCGTCCTGGCCACCCCACCCTGCGGAACGAGGCCAGGACGGGGACCAGGGGCCAGCCATATGGCCCCAAGTGCTTGGTTTATGTTGCTCCCATCGAACTGGAAGACCTCATCCCACAAAAGAATTCCGAGCACCCAGAACAGCATCGGAACATTGTCGGACGAGCATCGCCTCCGAGGGCCCGACGCGTGAACACCTTCAAACTTCGGCACTTCCCTGGTGCTCGAAGGGCAGAGGCTGGAGCAGGTTGGAACACCATGATGCGTGGGCGTTGGCAGAAGTGGGTTCGGTGGGACCTGGTTTACTGATGTGTACTGGGGGACGCCCCCCCCGCCCCGTTTCCACTAACCGGAACTGCCGTCTCCCGAAAAACACGAGCTACGGCAGACCTGGCTTCAGAATCCTGTCCAACTCAGGGGCTGCAAGGCCCTATTACTGACCGGGTCCCCTTACTCGGGGTCCTGACTATACCCGAATAATGCCTGGTCGCAGAAAGGAGACAGGGGGGACTGCAACTCCTGGATGTCTGGCCGGGGAGGGGGCGGACAGGCCGGGCCAGGCCGCCCGAGCCGAAAGCGCTGCAGCAGGACCAGAATGGCAGGCCAAGTGTGTGACCCTCGAGTTGGCGGCGAGCGGGGAGGGGGGGTGAGGAGTGGCGGGCTTTCTCAGAAGGCTCAGGAGTCCCCCAGCCTTCTGAGAAGGAGTGGTCCAAGCCGTCCCTGAAGACACAGGCATCCTCTCAGAGGAAAGAGGACTCCCGAGATGTCCCGCCGCCTGCTGAGAAGGCCTTTTCCTTCTCGCTTCCCTCCCTGCTCGCCGCCGAACTTCTCCCTCCACTCGCCTTCGGTGGCAACTCATGGGGGTCGTCCAGACCATCTTGTCGGCTCTTGCGAATCGACACTCATCGAAGCGAAATCGACGCTGAATCGGCGCTACCTCATCGCCTCTGGACGCTGATCGACGCTACTCGACGCTGAAGACGGGATTGAGAGGGTACACCCTGCGAAAGGCTCAAGAAATCATGGGTTAAGAAATTCACAGTCTCAGAAATTGAATAAAACCCAGAACTTCTATCAAAATCTTGGGATTTACATTGCAAAATTAAGAATAATCGAGACTCTGGACGAAAACTTAGGTTTTCTTAAGCATCGCCTAAGGTGTAGGTTGGGCGCCCATGACTTGTGACCGAACTCGCCCAAGGGCGCGGCCTCTGGAGGACGAAGCCCGCAAAGCGGTCGTCCGCGTACAGGGCGTCGAGGTCCTGGGCCGACAGGCCACCCGCGGCAGCGAGGGGGCGGGGCGGGGAGAGCCGGCACCACACGCCCACGAGGTGGGGTACAGATCCATCATCATCGTCATCATCATCATCATCATCATCAGCAGCAGCAGCAGCAGCAGCATCATCATCATCATCATCATCATCATCATCATCATCATCATCATCATCATCATCATCATCATCATCATCATCATCATCATCATCATCATCATCATCATCATCATCATCATCATCATCATCATCATCATCATCATCATCATCATCATCATCATCATCATCATCATCATCATCATCATCATCATCATCATCATCATCATCATCATCATCATCATCATCAGCATCATCATCAGCATCATCATCAGCATCATCATCAGCATCATCAGCATCATCAGCATCATCATCATCATCATCATTATAATCCTTATAATCATTATAATCATGATAATCATTATCATCATTATCATCATCATCAGCATCATCATCATGATCATTAGAATCATTATCATCATCATCATCATTATTAGGAAAGCCGGCACCACACGCCCACGAGGTGGGGTACAGATCCGTGGATCTGGCACGTGGGCAGGGGCTGGGCCGACATCGGACGAGCCAGCGTTCCCCTTTGTATGTTGCCCTCGACAGACGGGCAGAGGAAGTCCGCTCCAGCGCGAGGCGAATCGGGGCAACGGACATGCGAATTGTCCAGCGTGCAGGAGGGAGGAAAGAAGACAAGGGCGGCCGCGCGGGGGAAGGAGGGGGGGGAAGCGCCCAGACGTGGAAGAGGCATCAAACGAACCAGACCACAATAAAAACGTGTACCAAGGACGGGGGTGAAGGACGCCAGGCCCTTGGAGGCCGAAGTTGGGGTTCTGTTGGGCGGCGGGCGACCAGCGAAAACAGCAAAGGACCTGCCGCACAGGCAAGGATACCAGGGCACCCTAGATGAAGGCGCGCGTCATCACCAGGCGCTGTGACTGCATCGGCGAAACTCGATCGTGTCAGGGAACAAGGCCGACGTCGTCAAAGAACGAACCTGTAAGATCAACGACGTGCCGCTGTGCTGGGATCGGCGCGGGGGCTGCCAAGGGGATAAAAGGGTTACCAGTGGATGCAAGGTGACCTTTATCTGGCATAGCCTCAGACTGCTGCCATCGTACTTAAGGACCGCATATCATAAATAATTCCGAGCACCCAGAGAAGGACCGAAACAGTAACGAGCGCGTATCGCCGCCCAGGACCCGACGCGTGAAAACCATCCAGTTTGCGGTGCTCGAATTTCTTTCTGGTGCTCAAGGCTACAATGAGCTGGAGCATCGTAATCTGGGATGGGCAGACCCCCCTTCAGTAAAACGTGGTTTAGTGAAAACGACCTGAGGCCCAAACCTGGCGGGAGCAAGCCTGGAAAGTAACGGCCACGGCGCCCTCTCGAGAACCGAAAACGAACAATTCACTAATCGACGTGTCACTGTTGGGGGTTCTGTCCACCCCCGACGTAAGCATCGCCTAGCTCCTGAGCGGGCTACCAACCACCGCACGGCTTCAGGGTGTTCGCTCTGCTAAAGTGAGCGGGGCCCACGCAGCCTGGACCGCTGGCTCCCGAAGCCACTTGGGGCATCTGTAGCCGACTTACAAGCCAGATCAGGCCATACACACATGTACACATTTTTACATATATATATATATATATACACATTTATATGTATATATATATAGATATACACACCACCTCGTTTCCCACGAATCCTCTATCCAATTAGCCACCCCCGCGCCGATCCCAGTAGGGGGCAACTTCTGAGAGGTCCTCCTGAGAACGATTCACGACTGCAGGTGCCATCAAGCTCGGTCAGGCCTGATCAAGCCTGGCATATGGACATGAACTAAACTAAACGAGATTGAAAGCATAAGATGAAACAGAAAAGTGCCAGATTAGATCTGCCAGCGCCGGTGCTGAATTTACCGTCCCAGGAGTTGCATCACCAGGGGGGGGGGGAACGTAGTCAAAACTCATCGTCGATCGACGCCCCCCCCGGATCCATGAAGCAGGCGCCGCCCGATCTGGCGACGGTGCGCGCCGAACTCCTGCTTTACACAACGCTGGGACCCGTCGCTGATGTATGAGATGTTATGTATGTTTGTTTTCGTACGCTTCGCACATCTGTCATGTTGTCCCACGCGGACGGGGCCTAGCTCGCCTATGCAGGCGTAAACTGAATGAGCGCCGCGGACTCTGCAGCGAGAGGGTTCGCAATCACCACTGCTGTCTGATTGGCAGCGATGACTGTGTGCGGCTGGGCCGTCTCGACGACATCCTAGAGAACGCCTCTTTGCGCTCAGGGTCACACCGGCGCATGGGGGGGATGGGATTATGGCTCCGAACCTTGACAAATATCCAGATGAAAAGGTCCCAGGAAGGGGTCCAGATCTCTTGAGCAGGGACCGACCGTTCTGCCATTCCTACAGTCCTACATTAGAAACCACACGTGTTCTAAGACAAAACATTGTTCTTAGAACACAAGCCCGATGCACTAAAAAACACGACGGTCCCATCCAGAATGTGCTAAGAATATTCCGTGCAGACCACAAAAGGTACTCAGAGCATTGCTTGGTGGGCCCCTGGGCGAGCTAGGACGCCTCGCCACTGCTTGACCCGAAGGGGCCCAGACCCCTGAGCGTCCACCATGTGGAGAAACCTCCGTGGGCCAAGGGTCGGGATCCCGACCCGTCCTTCGAGGCGGGCGCGGCCGCGGCGACGAGGTGCCTCCGGGAGGCCGCCAACGAGCACGAGCGAGAACGCCGGGGAGTGGGGCGGGGCCCCGCCCGATGCCTCGACTGCAGTGGAAGCCCGACCACAAGGAACCTTCCACAAGGAACCAATACCCTGAGACCCCAGGACGTCCCTCGATGTTTGGTGTGGGAACGTCACGCTCTCCATCGCGAGACCATCGAAACCCAAGAAACCCAGGGCACCCTGGAGGCAAGCAGGGTGTTTCTTGGCATGGGCCTCCACTGTAGCCCTCCCTCGAAAGCACGGCCGCGACCACGCCCGAAGACGACACCGGCGGCACTGACGAGCGGCAGCGGTGGGCGCGACGGCCACGGCGCCCGCCACCGACGACCGAGCGCCCCCCTTTGAAGAGAAGGAAACGGGGGGTGTCCGACTCGAAGGGGGCGGGCACATCGATCTGGAATCGGCGACACATCGCCGACTGATCGGCGATAGAACCCCGATAGCCGATCCGAGCGCTCCTGGGCGGCGTGGGCTACCGGGCCGGCATCGGCGATCAATCGGTCATTGAAGGTCGATGCATCACCCCCCCAAACCCTATCCCTCCCGAACGTTAGCCCTTTCCGGTTGTCGGGCCAGAACTCGGGACGATCCGGGCACCTCCAGCACGCTCTCGGCGAGGCGCAGCTGCTGGAGAGTATCCCGAGCCTGGGAAACCACCGAGAGCCGACGAAAGCGCCCGAAACCCATTCATCCCCTCTCTGGACCTCTCCTGGGACCTCTCCTGGTGTGCGATCTGCCCAGAAACTCGATGCGGATCCAGCCATAGTCACCAGGTTGCCCCAGGACAAAAATAAACCGTAAGAAAGCGAACCTCGATCCTGAACCTCGCGCGTCTTCCACTGTCCACCCTCGGTTTGTGTTCATGTTTCTTTGCTTCGCCTCTGGAGGTGATCAGCCACCCTTGGATGAGGGCCACACGTCGTCGTCAATCGTCGTCGGTCGTCGTGGATCGTCGTCGTCTTTGCCGTCTCTGCCATCGTCATCGTCGTCGTCGTCTGTTGCTTGTGGTCGGTGTGACGCTCGTCAGTCGGTCGCTCGTCGTCGTGACCGACAGGCCCGAGCCTCCGCTGGCAGGCCGGCCACAAACTCCGCCAGCGCGGCCAGGCCCTGCAGGCCGCCCGCGGCGGCCATGGCCGCCATGGCGCTCAGGCGCGCGCGCGCGCTCGCGCTCGCGCGCGAGGCCTCCCCTGCGAGGCGGGGACATATCCAGATCCAGCGCCTGGGGAGCCGACGTCCTGGGACCCTGGAGCACGGCGGACGTGGACACGTTTGGGCCCAGGGGGCGGCCGAATACGCAGCGACCCGCGGCTGTGGATACGAGAGAGGGGTCGGCGGGGATTTGTCGACAGTCTGCGAGGCTCTGCAGAAGCCAGCCGCAGGCGCCTCTTTTGCAACGAATTGCAGAGAGAGCCCGATGTTTAACACATCGCACAGGGAGCCCGCCGCAGAGGCCGAATTCTCGTCAAAGCATTGTGGGTGGGTCGCGGGTGGGTCGTGGGGTGGGTCGCGAGATGGTGCGCGGGGTGGGTTGCGGGGTGGCTCGCAAGGTTGGTCGCAAGCGAGGGCGACGAGGGCAACAACAACAACAATCACTTGAAAACTGTTCGCTCTTATCTGCTCGCTTGCCATTCAACACGTACATCCCAAAACCTCGGTACCCGCCCTCTTCGTCTTCGATCGTACCCCCTCAGGGGTACATCTCTCCTACCTACAACGTGTAATTCCTGCAGCCCCTAAAGCAGGGAACGAGAGGACAAATGGAAGGAGACGGATGGAGCACGAAGAGGGAAAGGGAGAGAGTAGCAGGAGGGGGGCTAGGAGCAGCAAACGCTTGGCAAAACCAGACAGGCAAATCGGGCGGGTAGACCCTAACGTGCGGGCCCTGGAAGGCAGGCCCAGGCGGTCAGGTCGAGAAGGCGTCATGCTGAAGCGTGAGTACTGCATGAACCACGAGGAGAGCTCGAGCGATAGCGCGATTCCCAAACAATTCGTGAGACAAGCCAAAGTCAGAGCGTGATTCCTGAGTGTCGAGGGTGCGGCGTCTGAATAAACTGCGAAGACGTCCCACGCGAGAGCGCGTTTCCTGCATGCATTGTGAGGAAGTCCCGCGCAAGAGCACGAGTTGGGAATGTATCGCGAAGACGTATCAGACAGGAGCCGCCGTTGCCGGTGTGTTTGTTGTTGTTGGTGTTGCTGTTGTTGTTGGTGTTGTTGTTGTTGTGGTTGTTGTTGTTGTTATGATAAATGTTGTTGGTGTTGTTGCTGCTGTTGCCAATGTTGTTGCTGTTGGTGTTGTGGCTGTCGTTGTTGGTGTGATTGCTAGTGGTTTTGTTGTTGTTTCTGTAAGGCGGGCCCAGCCATGTAGTTTGGTGACCCCCTTTTTCCCCTTTTAGAAACCAGGAGCGAGGCCCGAGGGGAGCACTGTAACTGAAACGTGCCATGGTTGCCGCGCAGGAGGGGGATCAACCATATTGTTTCTTCAGAGATGGGGATCAAAACGACAGCTAACAGCAACAACAACCACTTTTAGACTGCTCGCTCTTGCCCGCTTGCGTGCCATTCAAGACGTAAGCGGTTCCCAAGCCCTCGATACACCCCCTCTTCCTCTTCGCTCGTACCGCCATGTGGGCATGTTTTCCTTACCTGCCGCGTGGAATTGTACAGCCCCTGGCACAGGGGAAGAGAGGACGGATGGAAAGGGGAGGAAGAAGGATGGAGCACGAGATTCGAAGGAGGGGGTCGGGAAGAGAAACGCGTGACGGAAACAGACGGGCCCATCGGGCGGGTTGACCCGAACGGGCGGGTCGGGAAGGCGAGCCCAAGCAGCCAGGTCGAGAAGGTGTGTTGCTGAAGCGTGAGTACTGCATGAATCGCGAGGGGAGCTTGAGCGGTAGCGCGATTCCCAAGAAATTCGCGAGACAGGCCAAAGCGAGAGCGTGATTCCTGAGTGTCGAGGGTGCGGCGTCTGAATAAACCGCGAATGCATCCCTCGCCATAGCGCGCTTCCTGCATGCATTGTGAGGAAGTCCCGCGCGAGGGCGCGATTTAAGATCACATTGTGAGGCAATACAAGCCAAGGGTGCAGTTTGGTGACACCACACGTTCCCTAATGGAAAAAACAACGTGCGAGCCTCGGGAGGGGCACTTCGATTGAAAAATATGAGAGTTACCAGCGGGATGATCAACCATACCAATTCTTCAGAAATTAGAACTCAACAACGACAATAACACCAACAACAACGACGACGTCGACAACAACAACCATCGTTTATGTGTACGCTTTATGATAAGATCGCATGCCATTCAACATGTAAATCCCCAAACCGTCAATACCCACCCTCGTCGTCGTCGTCGTCGTCGATGGTGATTCCCCTTTTGGAAACGTGCCTTCCTGCCTGCCACGTGTACCTGGCGCAGCCCCGAAAACAGGGCAGGGGGGGATGGAAGGGACGATATGTAGAGACGAGGGTGGAGACTGATTCGTGCCTTCCTGCCTGGCGCAGGCCCGGAAACAGGGCAGGAGAGGAGAGAAGGGACGATAAGTACAGACGAGGGTGGAGATGATGATGATGCTGATTATGATACTATTATTAATATGAATAAGATTAAAATAATAATAATGATAATGATGATGGTGATGATGAGAATGATGATGATGATGATGATGATGATGATGATGATGATGATGATGATGATGATGATGATGAAGATGATGACGATATGTAGAGACGAGGGTGGAGCACGACAGAGAGGCACAGGAGGGCCGTTGAGAACAGGAGAACAGGCGGCAGAACCACACGGGCGGGCCGAGCAGAGCGGGCGGGCAGCCGAGGCGCCAGCCCTGTACACAGAATCGCGAGGCCACTTGGAGCAACAGCCCCGTCTGCACTGACCCCTGTCTCATTGAAGGGGCCCCAGGACACACAAGTAAATACACACAGATAAACAGATTCCCCATAGTTTGCCATAGTTTTTGTGTTTTTGTCTTCCCCCCCACTTCCCATATTTTTGCATATCTTCCTGGGAGTCGACGATTAATTGTGTCTGTGTTTCTTTCCCTCCTGTCTCATGAAGCCCTAGAGGCCTCCTAGATGGGGTCCTCGTAGATGGGGGCGTTGGATCGCGCCGCATCGCCAATGCATCAGCGATGCATCGCCAACGCATCGCCAATGCTTCGCCGGCGTCGCCAATGTATCGCCACCGCGGGCGTGGCGAACATCGAGCTTCACATCGAGCCGCATCTACGATGCATCGGCGATGCTGCGCAATTCCTCCGACCCCATCCACTGCGACCCAATCTGGAAGGCCAAGATGGAGGAAAGAAATGCGGGGACCATGACCAAGATGTCGCGGGATCTTGTCCATGCCGATATTGGGCATGGTCCATGTCGGCCGTTGCCGATTTGCGAGGAGGATGCACGATGACAAAGATCGACGCTGACCAAGATGGACACGAAGTCTTCGCGTGCATTCTGAGTCGTGGTCCCCTGTTTCTTTTCCCCACTAGAGGCCCGATGCGAAGTCATCCGAGGCTCTCCGAGCGCCGGGGTGGGAGGAGGGCTGAGAGTTGGGAGGGCGAGGAGCTGGGAGGGAGGAAAGAGGGGGTTGGGCTGGGAGGTAGAGCGGGACGGGAGGGTCATGAGGGCGAGAAGGGAGACGAGGAGAAGGAGGAGGAGGAAGTGAGGGGGAGGAGGAGGAAGAGAGGAGGCGGAGGCGGAGGCGGAGGAGGAGGAGGAGGACGAGGAGGAGGAAAAGGACGAGGAGGAGGAGAGGAGAGGAGGAGGCGGGACAGGGAGGGCCTCGCCGCCGCGCCCTCGCGCCGGCGGGAGGGGGGCCGCGCGCAGCCCCCCCGCTGGCGGGCGGGCGGGGGGGGAGGGAAGCGGCGCCTGCGGTGGCGAAGGGGGGCGTGCGGGAGGGGCCTTCCTGGACCTCCTCCTCCTCCTCCTCGTCGTCGTCGGCAGCAACAGCAGCAGTGATAGCAGCCAGCATCGTCCTTCCTCTCCACCTCCTCCTCCTCCTCCCGACCCTGCTCTTCTTCTTCCTCCCATTCATCCTCCTCGTTCTCCTCCTCCACTTCCTCCTCCACCTCATCCTGCTCCTCCTCCTGCACCTCCTCCTCCTCCTCCTCCTCCTCCTCCTGCACCTCCTCCTCCTCCTCCTCCTCCTCCTCCTCCTCCTCCTCCTCCTCCTCCTCCTCCTCCTCCTGTGGGTGGATGGGGACTCCTGGGAGTGGCGTGGGCGGCTGCAGCCGTCGTGCTATGGCAGGCCCGCGTCGTGGCGGCATGGGCGTTGGTGTCCGACACTGGCAGACTCAAACAGTCACGCCGGACGACCAAAGCACATCGACGTAGGAGACCAATTTCTGACCACACCCACTTCCCGAGGTGCCTTGCGAAAAGCGGTTTCCAGAGGTGGAGGTGGGCAGTTTCCCCGCCCCAGGGGAAGGAAGAACTACCCACTTCCACCCCCGAGGGCCTATCATAGAATCGAGGATCCAGAGGTGGATGTGGTCAGAAATCGGTACGCAGCTTTTGGTCAATAGTCTGTCAGTTTCGTCACCTGCGGGACTCCCCTGTGCCAGACTGGCTACCGCAATGTGCATGAGAAGGGCATGGGAGCATTACTCCACCACCTGCGCAAAAAAGTCCTGATAAGGGGGCCTGATTTCAGACCGGCCGCCACTTCTAGCTAGCCACCGACCGCTTCCACAAGCAGCAAGCATCCCAGAAATCCCGCCATCCTTCTGGCCTGAGGCGGTCCAGCACGTTTCCTCTTCCACTCCCACCTTTTGCGACCCCCCCCCTACCCCCTCGACCCCAGTCTGGCCGGAGGGGGGGGCGTCCCGATGCCTCAAGATGGTTCCTAGAGGGCACAAGAAAGCCCGAGTCAAGATGGCACAATCTAGCTCAAAGTGGCTCAAGATGGCCTCCGCAATGCATCTGGAAGGCCCCAAGACGGCTTCAAGTGGCTACGGAGCATCGGTAGAATGTCCCCAAGAGCCCAAAATCCATTCAACACCAAAAGACGACACATTACTGTTGCACTGTGGCCGTGTCGCTTCCTACTGGCTTTTGGAGCATGAGGATGGTTCCAAGGTGGCCCAAAAAGGGCAAAACGGGACTCCGAGACGGGCAAGGATGGAAGACAAGCAGAGGACGGGAAGCAGGATGGAGAGGCCTGGTGAGGTAAGGTGGGCCACTCACAGCAGGAGCTCGACCGCAAGAAACCTTCCAGAAGAA